TGTAGATGTTTGTCTTCTCTCCATTTGTCCTGCAGCTTTTTAAATCCCATTCCGTTACATGGATGAAATCGGTTTCACAAACGCATTAATATTTTTATTCTAAGGTTCGGAAGATTAAAATAATTAGAGAGCAACGCAAATGCTAAATAATCACAGTTTTATATAAGATGAAGCTTTCAGCACCAACTTTAAGCACAATGCATGTGAAGATTTAATGTTGAACAGAGGTTTTTTATGCACCTGCATCGTGGATGCATGCCTGATTTAAACAGCCATCATATATTTATGTGGGATTGAGGTTAAGTCAGTCTGTGTTGGCTCACGTTTCAAGTTAATCACAAGCATGCAAGTTGGATAAGAAAGTTGGCAGAAGTTTCTATTTATTTCAAAGGGTCAAAGTTGGCTTGGTGCAACACTAATAATAGACTGTTGCTGAGTAAAAAGAGAACATTTCATCAGAACGTTAAACTTTTGTTTGAATCGAGTAAAAAAAATCATTGAGCTCCAGGATTCCTTTTACACGATAAACCCAGAGTAGGGCACACGCAGCACCACAGAGCTTAACTAGAGATAAAATTATTATTTATAAAAAGATGTGTAAATATGCCTCTGTCTTACTAATAAAATATAAACACAAATAAAGCAATATTAAATGTATTTTCTACATTTTAAACACAAGTGTTTTATTTTCCCCTGGAGGGTTTCAAAATTTTTGATTTGTTTGTTGTATGACTTAAAATGTATTTTACAGGTATTAAAAATAATAACAATAATACATTTTATTCATAATCTCCATTCACAAAAACACTAAATAAAGGAAATTCTGTATTAAAATCAAGTTAAAAACAAGAAAACAAAGATGCATAAGACATTAAAAATTACAAACCAAATATTGAAATTAAGTACAATAAAAACAGACTGTTTATGTGAAATTTTACACACAAGTTCAGTTGTTTCTTGTGCAAGTTCTCAAATAGTGTTGCACAAGTGCACGGTTGTACTCACTCAGGGAACAAACTATTACAAATAAAACACGGATGCCGACAAACAATAAGCCAAGACTAATCACAGATACACCCTGAACAGAGACACATATATTCCTCCTATCTAAAGCCTTAATGTTTCACAGGCTTGATTAACCAGGCAGGTTTAACTTCTGCCAGAATTTCAAGATGAGATAATTAAATCTCTACATGGAAGCAAGTCACGTGTTTCCCTCCAAGTAGCATAACATATCAAAGGATTAGCGTAAATGAAACGGGTACACGTGACGGTCGGGATTGGATTTCAGGTGATTACTACAACTGCACCAAATGTTTAGCTGCTGTGCAGACATGGTGTGTCTTCTGATCCGTAAAGGCTTCTTTCCTTCGCTTCTTAATTCAGTTCCTCGGTTTGGGACAAAAGCAGAAGCCGGTCATAGCTGCAAACATCCATCTGCATTGGTTTCATCTTTGAGAGAAACACACACACACACACACACACACACACACACACACACACACACGCATGCTGCACCGTGACCCAGCACACACTTCCCAGCAACCATTTGAAAGTCATCAAGCTCAAACTAGCAACATCTAAGCCAGCAGCTTTAATCACGTACAGTAGGAGTTACAGTGGAGGCGGTGGTGCCAAAGAGGGAGAAGACATCATTATTGTTCCTCAGTTACATCACTTTAGGTTTGATGACTCTTTGATATTCTACGGGAAACGTTGTTATTGTTACAAGAATCTAGAGAAAATCCAAGCGATACATTATTTCAGGACTTATAGTATTTCTGTAATTGTGTCAAATACCAGTTTGTTTTATCAGCAGACTGCAAAGGTAGTTTTTTTTTGTACTTTTCCAGATGACATTTTAAAAATATTTTTTATGCTTTTGATAAACTTTGTGAATCTGGAAAGTAAGACTTCCACATTAAAGGAACATTTAGCTAATTTTTTCATATTTTTGAATCATTTTCTTGAGCCAGTATGTGCTAAAATGACCCTTTACAGAATTAATGCAATGTCACTCAGACCCCACCGCCCTCTGTTGCCAGAATACTGCATTTGCAACTTCAGAGTGCCAGTCCGGTCTGTTGGACCTACCTGGCGCTGCAGTCTGCTTCCAGCACGTTTCCTGCATGTTTTAGATCATAAACACAGCTGCTTTGGTTGATTTAGTGATGAATCCCTCCTATAGACACTAATTCAATTAAAATTCTGTTCAAAAATACTTTATTAATCCCGGAGGGAAATTGATTAAATGAAGGCTGAGGAGACATTTGAGCAGTTAGATTACTAAACAGACACTAGGGGGTGCTAAAAGCAAGATAAAACTGCCTAATCTCCCTCAAATATATGTTGTTGCCAGTGTGCGATGGTGCTTAAAGCTTCTTTCCGGAGTATTTCTCTTATCCGATGGCACCATCTAGTGGCTGACAAGCATATCACACTCCTTCCATTTTTTTTAAGATGGCGACTTCATGTTTCTGTTCATAAATGTGCTTCTGTAGCCGACAAACAGAGCTAAAACACGTTGTTTTATGAGTATTATTCTCATGTCTTGCTGCATTTTCATATATTTATATTTTAGAGACTTGTCCGTGAAAAGTTCATCAACTGCATCAGCCGAGGTATTCCTTAAATTTGAAGCAGGTAAGCGGCAGTCTAGCACTATTGGTTAGTTCTGGCCGGCGCTCAGTTTCCTATTGCACAGAGCTCTGCATAGCAGAGGGCGTGCTTAGCAAAAAATAAATAAATTTTAAAAAAGACGTATTGCTTACCGCAGTACATGATTAGATAATCACTTTTACGGATTTCTGACAAATCATACATAATTTCTGAAAGGGGAAAACTCCGGAAAGATACTTTAAAACCACAATGGCAAATCTGCAAATTAAGCTAGCTTAAGACAAATGTTTTTTATGCCTCTGACCAGCAGAAGTTGGTGGTTCCATGAACAAGGCTGAAGCTGAGGGGGGATAGGTCTTTTTCCGCTGCCGCACCTGGACTTTGGAACCAGCTTCCAGGCAGTACTAGACAGGTCATCTTTAAGTCGCTCCTCAAGGCTCACTACTCTTCACTGGCTTTTAACTCTGACTAATTATTCTTATCCACTCTCATTTTCAAGCAGTGTTGTGTTTTATTTATTTTACAATGTTTTTGTATGTTTTAATATATCATCCATGTTTTTACTGTTTTTAATGATGTCGGTATGTTTTTATCTGTGAGTCGACAGTGCTGTGTATAAAGTGCTATATAAGTAAAGGTGGATTGGATTGAACACTCTACTATAGTACAGCTATAAATATATTGTGGAGATTAAAATAAAAAACAAAAGAACAAAAAAATTCTATTGCATTTGTGTAAAAACTTCAGCCAATAACACGGCTCGGTCCAAAACCAACGAATAGCAAAACCGGTACTGTTTTACTTTTACCTTAGTAAAAGTCTTTGAAACTTCAACTTCTGCAGAAGTCTTCTTAAACCCGATACTTCTACTTGAGTAAAGAACGTGAATCCCTTTGACACATCTGCAAATAGAAACTTTTTCCACCCTACATGAATCACCAGTCGTCTGGATCTCCATCGGTTTGTACTTCGCTGACTGAAGAAGAGTGCACGTTCACTTTCTTCATGAGTTAGATTAAAAGAATTTCTTCTGATGTAGACGTCTTCATGTTGTTATTGTTCAGCCATAAATCTGTTTAATATTCATATGATCTCAGTAAATTAGCAACTGTAGAACCTAAAATCATTTTCAAAGCACATGCAGTTCTTTAAACTGCTCTTGTTCAAAGAGTTTTGCAGGAACATCATAAAAATGATCAAATAATGTAATAAATGCAAAAAAGGCTTTCTCTCTTTTGAAAAAATCCTCAACATTTCATGAAAACAGAGTCCTGTAAAAAAACATAAAGGCTTTATTGGATTCTCATGCTCGTGTTTTTGTGGACTGCCCATTTTCCAGAGAATTAGTCAGCTCTTCCTCTGAGCCACTCCCCTGTGCAGACGTGGTCTTTATAAAGCCGGACTCTCCGGCTCGTGTAGTAAACACTCCAGGCTCGGTCAGACTCGAGGACAGTTTGAACTCAACGCTCCAACACTAAACCACCTGTCAGAATCTGAAATGGCCACATTCGTGTCGGTGAGTTTTCCGTCTCCTCAGCAGCTCAGCTCAGATCTGATGGCCTGTGTGTGTGTGTGTGTGGTGGTTCTGCTTCGACCGGTTTGAATCTGGTCTGAAAGTCTTGATGGGATTCTACCTGGAAATCTGGGCAGTGTTTTGATTTAAACAGACTGGATTATTAACTTCTGGTTATCTGTGTTTTGAATTGTTTTGCATCATCGCGGTGTCATGAGATGGTGCGTCTGTGTCCTTTTAAACTTTATTTATTTGCTGATGTTGTGCTCCGGGTTTGCTGCCAAAGTTTAGGTTTGGAAATACAGGAATCTTGGAAGCCTAGCTGATTTCCCTTGAATCACAAGGATCTAGCAATCAAAGAGTTGCACCTTGGGACTTGTACTAAGTTTTCCTCTCACTTAATGTGCATTTGTAAAATAAAGTGACAAAAGTTCCTGAATGAGTATTACACTCAGACCTCTGCTCTGAGATCAGGTGAAACTCCACAGCAACGGCCCAGTCTCTCCCCTGTCACAGCTATTTTCACATCTGTGAAAATGCTGAAAGGTAATATTAACTTTTGGCATGGTCTCAGGAAATTTTCAGCTGTTAAGTGTCAGGAATTGACTTCCTGGATCGCTGCAAACAGCATCTCAGCAGCGTGATTCTTGTTGTGTGAAAACTTTGGACTGGCTGTCTTCAAACACATTGCGAAGCACCGACCTGCCTCCGATAATCCTAATCTGTGTTGCAGGAGTCAGTCGGGCTGGGACTAGAGTGAAGGTTTCAGAGGGAACTAGCAGTTTTCCTTCACCTCAAAATCTCACGTCTGTTAGGAATATCAATGCAGCTTTATTACAAAAATGTTCCTTTTCTCACCTTGTCCCAGATGGCTACCTGCCATGCCTGCAGCAAGACGTCCAGACACCAAGGCGTCAATCGGGAATTTCTTTCCAACTTCTCTAAAACACCCATAAGTGCCAACAAGCACAAAACTCCCCAGTCCAGCAGCAGAATCACCAACACGACCCCCAGGACCTCTTGCAAAGACAAGACCCCGTCTCAAACGCCCAGGTGACTTTTTAATATCTCCTGCGCTAAAACATGCAGAGGCAACAGAATCAAACATGTGAAAATGTCCTTTTTCTATTTTCTTACGCTCCTCTTCTCTTCCTCCTTCCAGATCCTCCATCTCATCCAATGTTTCGGGATCAAGCTCCACTTCCTCCAAGTCTTCATCTAAACCAAAAAACTGGGTCGTCCGGCGTCTCAGCAAGCTTCTGATGCGAGAGGAAAAGGAAAGCAGCAAGAAAGGAGGCTTAAAGGACTTCCTCTCCTCACTTTAAGCATCTCATCAAAGCACTTTTTTTTTATTATTCTTTAATCAGAACCAGGTGGACGTTCTGTGTTCCACCTTGTTGATTCCTGAGGCTGAGGGGGAACCTAGCTGAGGTTGCTGCTGCTGGGCTGATTGAGATGGCGCTCCTTAATTCCTGACCGTAGGAACAGGGAGCTGGGAGCTTTTAATCACTCACCTCCTTGTTTTATGATGCAAACAGAGAGATGACGCCTCTTCTGACTAATTTAATTTCCAACCTGAAGTTTCACTCATCGTTTTTACACTTTCTTCAGTATTTCTGCAACTGCTGCAGCGATTCCCTGCCATTATCTTTCTCAGTTCCAGATGTTTTTTGTACATTTAATCATACATTTTTATGTTAAAAACATTATTCAAACCTTTATCCGTGAAATAGGATGGTAACATTTTTATATGTGTATATATTGACTCACATTCAGCTTTTGATGCATCAGTGGAAACACTTTGTGATAAGATTTTGTATTTTTTAGGACACGCTATTTAAACTGTAAGTCATCGATGAAAGTATTTATGGTTATAATTTAGGAAAATCCCACCAGTAGTTGTTCACACTTACAATCTGTACAGAAATACTCGATTATCACAGCTGTGTAAGTGACAATAAAAACCTCATTGTTTTATAACACCCTTCACTATACTGATGTGAAAAGTTCAGAATTGTTCTAACTGCAGAAGTAATAAATGTATCTAGTGCATTTTGTACTGGCTGAATAGGTATTCTGTTGTAATTATACCGTTCAATGAATAGTATGTGTATAAATTCTGAAATACCTCACTTTTGTATTCAACTTTTTTGTTTGTGACTCAAATTAAATCCTTTCCAATAAAAAATGACTTTGTTTACTCATTAAAGTGTTTGTGTTGATTATGCCAACAATATGCACATTATTTAAATCATTAAAACTAGTGTTTTAAGTTTAAAGGTGTATAATTGCAACCTTTTATTATGGCGCAGGAACGCCACAAACTTGAGTGTTTTAATAAACTAAACATAAACAAACCAGGCGCTGTACACAAAAACTACCAGACACAAGAACAGTTTCTTTCCTTCAGCCATTTCTCTCCTGAATCTGTAGATTATTTTACCATCCTTTTATTATAGTTTTTAATACTTGTTCAGTATGCTTATGGATATGTGTGTGTGTGTGGGTATGTATATATGTGTGTGTGTAAATGAACATGTGTGTGGGTATACATGTTCTTATGTGTTTTTAGGTATTTTATTCTCATTTATTGTGGTTGTTGTATGTTTTTAGAGAGCGAATATCTACCAAAGACAAAATGTACTTTTACTTGGCCAATAAATCTGAATCTGAATAATGCAAATTATCAGACATGTGAGATGCAAAATGACTACAAATAAGGAAAAAATGCTAAAAGTTTAATATTTTAGATTTTCTACGTGGAAAATACACGAAAGCACACAATGGTAAATCTAATTGATCTAGTGTAAAGAATAATCACATAGGCCGCAAAAGGCTGCGGTGACGCTTCATGTCCTTCCACCTACGTCCTCCAGAGGGCGCTGGACTTCACTTGACCAACTGAACCGGAAATGACGCAACTACATATCACTGTTAGCTAAGTGGTAGCTTCTTGCTGTTTTCACCGGATAAATCCGGAAAAAATGCTTTCTGTGCATCTTTAAATCTTAACAGTAAATGTGTGTTTTCTGGGATAGTTTGTTAGCATTTTAACAATGTCGGGAAGAAAGCGAACAAGAGAGAAGGAGGAAAGGAAGGAGCACAAGAAACACAAGACATCCAAACATGACATGGAAAAGCTGGACTCACAAACCAAGAAACTCAGCCAAGAGGTCCAGAAGCTGAAACACATCGAGACTTTGTGAGTGTCTGCAGCCACAACATGTGAATTATAGAGACGAGTGTACAGAAAAAGACAATTTAATCCGTGTGTGTTTATTTTGGTATTTTTGCAGCTATGAGAAACCTCCACCTGGCTTTATTAAGGTAACGTGACGAAGATAGTGAAAGAAAACCAGTTAACGCAGAGCAACAAATAAGAAAGGCGTAGCTTTGCGTTGCTTATGAAAGCCTTTAGCGTGTGGTGAGAGGATTTTCTTCTGCAGGAACACGAAGAGAAACCAGAGGATTGTATTCCTGAGGATCCTGGGAATGAAGAAGCCAGAAGCTTCCTGGCTCACGCCCCCACCAAGGGCCTGTGGATGCCTCTGGGGAAGGAGGTGAAGGTCATGCAGTGTGAGTTTACTCATCTCTGGTCATCATGATTTTTCGATCAGACACATCTCTGTGGCAGATTTTATTTTTAAGCTATTAAAAGTGCTTAAAATTCAACTCAATGGCATGTTTTAATGTCTTGAGGTGATTTAGCTCTAAACGATTTACTTTAGGAGGATGAGAAGTCTTCTTGAGCCAATATTTCCTGTTTGTGTAGAGATCTCCACTGCATGGTCTTGGAAAGTCTTGAAAGTGCCTACATTTGTCAAAAGTGTAAAAACGGGCAGATTTTGTTTCTAGCTGGCATGATGCCTCATATTAGCCAAAAACACTCATCTAAATACTTTTATTTTGAAATTTGACACACAACGTGATCACAGTTGGCACAAATACCCACAATTCCTGTCCAGGAGATGGATTATTCATCTGACATGTTAACGTTTTACACGAATGACAAATGTAGCAAATGAATGCAGTGGTGACGAGTCCTTATTGCAGCTGACCAGCATAACTAATCACATCTCATTATTTGTTTTTTAAAGCTATAAGAATGTGATCTAAAGCCTGATGACATTTATTATGTTTTTGTTTAAGGTGGTTAAATACACCCAGGGGTGGACCGTTAAAGCGCCCGAGCGCCAATGGCGCTAAATTTTCTCGTCGGGCGGTAAATACTTGACGACTTACCGCCCAGGTGGCGCCCAAGCTTTATTTGTCATTTACACACCGGCTTTCACCTACATCATGGCCCCGCCCTGTAGGAAGCTGCCGTTTTCGTTTCGCGCGCGTGAACCTGCGCGCCTCTAGCCACCTACTGCACTTGTACGATTCGTGCACGTACTGCACGATTAGTTATAGTCACGTGAACTATAAGTTCACTATTAAAGACGAAGTGGAACCACGCTAGAAACACAAAAGCACGCAGGAAGATCGCGCCACCAGGGATTGGATTTCTTGATGAAATCTCCGGCAAAACGCTTTAAAACTGGTGAGGAGAAGCGAGACAGTTCGAAACGGTATGAAGCAGAGAAGCGTGTGCGTAGGTGGAATGATTCTTGGCGATTTAAAGAAGACGGGAGGCGCAGAGAATGGCCGTGTTCGAGTTGAGCAGCGCCTCGCCTGGAAAACATACGAGAGCAGACGGAAGCAGCAGGGGGAGTGGCTGAAAGCCGGCGTTTAACGCCGGGGACACACCGGCCGCGGAAGCGCCCGAAGCGAATCGCTCACGAAGTCCGGCCGCTGCTCGCTGCTCGCCGCTCCTCAGTTCAAATCAGACGCGCCCCATTCGAGGCGCGCCTCGGCTCCGCTGTGGATTTTCTTTTAACTACCTGGTGTCCTCAATTTCCTCAGCTCTTTTCCTCTACGTGTGAGTGAGTGAGTGAGTGAGTGAGTGGAGAGAGAGGGAGAGGGAGAGGAGAGAGAGAGAGAGAGAGAGAGAGAGACTATGGTGTGAACCAGTTGTTTCTGCCAGTTGAATCTCTTGGATTTCCCTACATGTGTAGCTCGGGGGTGACGATGGATGAAGATATCGCGTTAGCATTCACACTTGTTCAATTTTCAATTTTAATTCTGGTGCCTGTTAGCAGCTGAAACACATCCTCACGTGCTTGTGGATATCATATATTGTATATGAAAACATGACTGTAATAATAAGTAAAGGTTAGCAGCTGTAGGTTTAGTGTGCTCATAGGAAACGTGACAAAAGAAAACAAAACACATTTCTCTTTATGGCCTATATTGTTGTTATTATCAGCGTAACATGATTTACAGAATACATGTGACCAACTAACATTTCATGTTCTACCACCGGATGTTTGGATCAAAATATGAACCAATCAGATCTTAGATCAGGTGAGAGCCAGGCGTTTCCGTCATCCTCTAGGTTTTGCAGCCGAGGGAGAGCAACTGCAGCGCCTTGCTCCAAAATCTGCGGCCGCCTTGATCTCACGAGGTTATCGTTGCCTACGTATGCATGACGTCAGAGCAAGTCGGCGTCAATTCGGACACAAATCTAACCGGCATGCACTGCTCGCCGATCACCGCTGGTCTAACCTGCGCAGAACTGGCTCATCTTGAACACAGCCAATGGCTCGAATACAGCAAAGCGGAGTTGGTGATGTACTGCGTTGTATGCCGGAAGTATGCGACGACAAAATCGTGTTTTGTTGAGGGAACAAACAAATTCAAACTTGAATACGTTATTATGTTTGTGAATGTGTACAAAATAAAGGTTTATTACATTTAAAACGGTTCAGTTGTTATTTTGACTTGTTTTGGCAGCTGACCAGTGGGGCCGGTAGATTCTTGGTGGGGCCGGTAAATATTCAGAGTTACCGGCCCGGCTGGCCGGTTGGTTTTGAAGTTAATGTCCACCCCTGACACCTGTAGCAAGTTTTTCATGTTTAAAATCTGCTGCCATGGTGACGTGGGTAAAAATGTTGATCAGCCTTGTTGATAACATCAAAACATTGTTTTATTACAGGCTGGAGATGCAAGCGCTACGGCCACAGGACAGGAGACAGGGAGTGCCCCTTTTTCATCAAAGGAAACCAGAAACTGGAGCAGTTCCGAGTGGTGAGTTGGTTAAATGTTACAAAAGCTGTCCGCTACTTCTAGCAGCAGAATCAGACAGCCAAAGCTGAGTTCTGAGCATCTAGAGTTTACATCTGTGGGCTGCAGATTTAACACGACATGCTTTGTTTTGAAATGAAAGAATGTAATGTGAGTAGTAGTAATTATTTTCCTCCTTTTTTTTAGGCTCATGAAGACCCAATGTATGACTTAATTCGGGAAAACAAGAGGAATGAAAAGGAAACAAGGTGTGTGCATTTGTTTTTATCTAGAATTAAAAGAACTTTTCTTAATGCTCCAGTTAAAATCAACACCTGCTCGAAAACGTGCAGCTTTTAGATCACAGATGACCTGGAAACAGGTGTGTGTTTATTCCTCTAATGTCTAATGACTGTTGGATCTGATGACGTTTTCCTGACACCTGAGGTTTCTGTACCGCCATCACAGCTAACACCAGTCTGAAGGACCAGAACTGGGACTAAACATTGTCCTGTTCGCCAAGATGGCGACCTTTGTGAATTGTCTGCTGTTCCAACGCTTCCTGTTTTTTCTTCTTTGCAGGATTCAGCAGTTGCAGCAGCTGCTCCAGGACACCACCTCCAACTCAGACAGCTCCTCCTCCTCTTCCTCATCTTCAGACAAACGTCGCAAAAAGAAGTCAAAAAAGAAACGAGACAAGAAGAAAGAGAAGAGAAAGAAGAAAAGGAAGAGGAAGCACAAGTCTTCCAAAACGAGTGACAGCTCAGATTCAGACTGAGACCAGATGTAGAAAAAGCTTGAAGAGAGTGAACAGAACGTTCCTCGAGACTTCCTCTGAAACTCTACAAACTGTTTACTGCACGCGACCCAGAGTGGCTGAGTCACCATATCTGTGCCTTGTTCTATCGTGGTTTGAATAGTATTTAGTGCATGAGCTAAACTCTTAACGTCTACTGACAGCATCCTTTTTAATTTATTTCATTAAGATTGTAGTCTTCCTCAGCCTTCCCATTCTGATGGTATTAGGTGATTGTAGTGTGTTTAATCCAGAGATTGAGGGGGAAAAAAGCTTAAATAGAGCCAGAACGTTTAAATAAACAAACATAAGTTGGATTATGTTTACATATTCTGATCAGACCAAAACAAGACGGAGTAAATCCATGTATTCTGAAAATAAGGCAAATTTTCCTTACTTAGTTCTTTTAACGTCACATAAGAACAAAAGATGAGACTTGAGGCTTAAGAAAGTCTGTTTATCCTTTTTCCTTTGCGAACAACACGTCTGTGGAAACCAGCAGGAGTCATTTCTTCTTTCTGCTGACAGAGATAACCTTGGTGGAACAGTCAAACCAGACTCCCATTTAGATTTGAGTTTGGGGCATTCGGATTTCATCCCAAGGCTTCGGAGACCCGAACAAGACGCATTTCAGTTCCTAGCGTGTCAGGTAATGCAGCCAAGAGAGCAGTTCTGCTCGGTTTTAATTAATCTTTTCATCTCACTGCTCTGATTCACAAAAATAAACCCACTTGACCAAAACACATTTTATGTCAGTTTTTTACTCTGGTTGGTTTTAGCTATGAGGTGGATTGCTGTTATGGAACAAGAAGAGGTACACATCTCATCTCGGAGCTCTAGAGTCACCTGCCTTCGTTAACAGATCCACCTCAGCTGACTGAGCTGGAGGGTTAGGTCAGCGCTTCTCTTTAATAACCTGTTTTCCTTGAGGACCTCCTTTCCTGTGCTAAAGATGAACCAGGACCCCCAAATGTTCGTGTGTTCTTGTATTTATTACATACTGAGGACAGTCATGAGTTTTTAACCAACAGAGCGAGGACATTTTTCAAAGTGAGGACATTTTTGTGGTCCACCTTTCTTTAAAAGCTTACTAGTTGGTTTTGGATGTATGGTGTGAATTGTTTGAGTTGAGGTTAGGGTTAGGAATATATCAGCACTGCTTAGGGTGTGGGTTAGGCATAATACAGTCACAAAAATGGATGGTCTTCACTGTGATAGAAAGACAGACGTGTGTGTGTGTGTGTGTGTAAGAGATTTTTTACATATTGGATTTTTCACATTATCTTTGTGATCAGTTTCAAACTGTGGTAAGAGCTCCCTCTGGTGGTGCCCAGAAGGAAACGTGACTGCCAACAGGAAATATGTGGTGGTGTTTGTCAGTTGCCAGCTGCCAGAAGAGCATCAGAACAATGGAGGTACTTTTTAACAATGAGAGACGACAGCTGAGTTCAGGTTTCTGCTTATAATATAATTATTGTCTCATTTAAATGAAGATAATTTTTTTCTAAAACTTAAAATTTTCACATCTGTTTTCTTTATTGTGTTTATAAAGTCATGTGAAAACACTGGCTGTATGAAGATGTGAGACTAAATAATCATGAAAACAGAAACAAGACAATAACAATAGTGTGAAGATAAAGTATGAATTATAGTAACTCCCTAATCTAAAAAAGAAAAATATTGTTTCCACATCATTGGAAACCTATTGCACTGACACAGGTATTGATTAAATTTAAACAATACCATTTTTAAATTTGTTCAACCTACAAATGAATTAATAATTAAAATTTCTTAATATTTTCTTACCCTTGCATTTACAAAAGTCTCACTGTCACTCGTCCATCTGGGCTTTTCCTCAGTATCAAACACAGAGCATCATTATAGGCAACCTGCAGCCTAGCATACCACATTTCTTATAGTTAGTCCATAGGTGGGCCATGTACAGCAGTGTACAATAATCCTTAAACAAGGTTATCTTTATGTTATCAGAACAGGACTCAAACCTTTGCGCAAGTGTATTTTCCTGAGCATCTAACACATGGTACTGCCTATACATGTCATCATCTCTTGTGTCTTTGTGATGATATGACCAAGATATTTGGCTTTCTTGGTGAAACTAATCACAGAGTCTGACAAATAAAAATCAGAAAACTTCATTTGCTTTGCGACAAATCATAACCTGACTTTTAGCTGCATTATAAACAATGTTGAGTTCTACTCCAAAGTCAGAGCAGATCTAGTATCTACTAGATACTAGTATCTAGTAGCTGCTGTAGACTAGCTGTGCTCTGACTTAAAACCCCTAAATCATCTGCATGCATCAGATGATTTATGACAACACAGCCAGTCCTGCAAGGAACTCATTGGCTGGTCTACATTTCAGACTAACTGGCCAGATTTGGATTTATGTCTGAATGGTTATCATATAATAACCACGAAACTGCTTCATCTGTCTAACGAGGATCCAGGTCATAAAATCATCGTTATCAGTTACACCCATAGGGCTGTTTTGCATCCACAGAACAAGGATCAGTTGGTTTCAGACTGCTGCAACTCAAACGTCACTAAAAGTAATCTAAAAGATCAGTTATGAACAAGTACGTAATTATAATCACGTTTAGCGAGTGTTTTTGATTACATACAGATAAATATCAGTAAATGTTTATCTTTGGAAATCTAAAACGACTTATAGATAATTGAAATGAGTTATTCTAAGTGAGAATTCAGTTTCAAATGCCCACAAAATGAATTCTGAATAAGACGAATGAATTGTGGATTTGTGCAGCTGGAAAGCCTGTACACCTGAATGGCAAATGTGACATTAGTTCCTGGAAAAATGATATGAGAGTTATTGTGGTTATTTTCAATGGGATAAATAAATACTGATGTCTAAAATGGAATTTTGAAAAGTCAATGAACTAGTTTTATTGTTAAAATGACATTCCAATAAACGTTCCATGAATTTGCATTTATTTTCATATTATCGTGACTGTTTAAGTGATTTTCCAGCTTTATTCTACCATAAATTATGTTTCTATTGATTCTAAAGATGGGCTGCCACCTTTTCACAGTGGAGGGGTTTGAGTGTGGATGACTAGCATCTGATTTGCTCCTGACTAACATCTCTTGAGCATCTATGAGACACGTATGTGCTTGAGAAACCTGGTTGACACACATCTCCTGTTTGAGTAATGTGGTAACTGGTAACTGGTGACCAGCATGAGGATGAGAAGCTAGATTGTTGTGGCTGCATATGGATTTTCCACATGCTACTGAGACCCTGAAAGAGTCAGATGAATAAATTGTTAAAATGACCATCATGTGTTGTCATTTCCTGGTTACTGTGGGAACATGGTTATCTGATATGTGATCATCAGAACAATACCACAGCTTTGTCTTGATTACAATAAAAAGGACTTCCTGAATTAAGAAATCAAGACACAAGCATAATTCAAGTAAATTCAAATTTATTTTTATTCATGAAAAAAAAAAGAAATAATTATTATAATAGCAATAATAATCTTATATTATTCAAGATTTATATATTTAATGGTTAAAATGAAAAATGACCTAAATGTTTTACATTTATTTTACTCACCTTTTCCTGAATACTCAGAAGCTCTCAAGTCTTTGTCTTTTTAGCATTGTCACAGATTAAAGCGTGGAGTTGCACAGGAGATTCATTTGGGGTCATTTGTTTATTGTAAAATGAAGAAAACAATTTTGTACTAACCTGATTGTATTGATTCAATCCTTTTTTATTTATCTCACAACTTCTCTACAGTCGGTTCAGGATGACTTGTTGGTGGTTTCTCTGTCAAAACGCAACCCAAGAGGTGATCGTGCGTTCATGGTTACAGGTCCTCAAGTCATGAATCAACTTCCATCCGAGATAAAACGGTCCACGTGTGCCCTTTTTTAAAACACAACTTAAGCTTTTTTAAGATCAGTTTGCTACTTTTATTCATGTTTTTATTCTTCCTGATTTCTTTTTGGTCATATTTAATTCATGCATTGTTTTTTAGTGTTTCGTGCTTTTATTTTATCAAAACATATGCTTTTATATGTGTTTCTGCACAATATACAGTGTTGGAGCTAAAGATGTGTCGAATGTATTTTTGGAGAATGTCAGCATCCTGTTTTGTGTAGTCAGGTGTTGCTAAAGTTGGCACAGTTTGCATGTCTTGTTTAATTGTTTCAAAAGCTATCTTGGCTTCATTTTTCCCTTTTAAAGTTGATTTTAAGACTGGGTTCCAGTATCTTTAATTAGTGACCTGAGTGGTGCAGTTTTTTCAGTATAGTTTTCAATCCATTCCGAGTTTAAACCAGTCATTCCCAGAAATGTCATCATTTGTCCAACAGTTTGTGGTTGTGGGCAGCAATAATATGGGCAGATGCTTTTATGAACATGGGGTCTATTCCTTCAGAGCCAGCGAATTCATTTGAGTCAAGCTATGATTGGTCACACTGAGTTTCACATGCAGGCAGAATGCGAACATGAACCCATATTTCCTGCAAAGCCTCACAGATCTATGCCTTACTGAAAAATAGCATTCACGGACAGGAGAGAGCGGCTAGTAGAAGCTAATCATTAGCATTAGTAACTCCACAACATGGTCAAACAGGTTCTGGTATGTGGTGTTTGTGGAGATAACACAACAATGTTGCACTTTTTGCTCTAGGAAGAAGAGTGAATGAAGGCAGTGGAAGAGTCGCTTTGCTGTTAGCCAATCAGAGGTTAGATGTTTGCATATCATGAATGTTAATAAGCAAGAATCTGATACTGCTATTTTCCACCCCACTCCTACGGCTAATTCTACTTCCTGAAACAGGAGTTTATTCCCACATAAAACGAGTCATCATTCTAGAGACCACAGCAAATTTATAGAAATGTATTGAAAATAACAATTTTATGGACATGAAAGCAGCAGAAACTCTAGTGTTGTGATATGTTGGCTGTTTCTGTTGGAATAAAAAATAGCAGATGAACCTGACAACAGAGATTTAGAGCAAAAAGGAAATGAAACCTGATGACAATAATTTCACAGTTTTGTACTTTAATTTTACATTTATTATACGTTTCCCTGATCCATTCAGCCATAATAATAATACCCTTGGATGAATCTAGTCATCTTTTTTTTTCTGGCACTCGAGGAGTACAGACACTTCTCTGTTTGCTCCCTTATCTTTTTTTTCCCAAGGCTCTTTGTCCTGTCTGCCCACAGAGTGCTTCTCTGCATTTTTTATGGAAACCCCTATTTTTTAACCATGGATTTGATAAATTGGTCATTTAACGCAATTAATACGATTTTTTCAACAATGAGAACGGAGCAGGGGACTCCCACATTCCCACATGTCCACAGGGCCACACCCGGTGGGGTATATGTTGGATTCCTGGAAGGAATGGAAGATCATATGCCTCTCCCAGCTGTCCATTGAGGACATCGAAGACGTGTCGATATTTGGCCTGATGATCACTGGATTTCTTCTGATTGGAGTGGGAGGATATCTGGTTTTCTGGAAATTTGGGAAGACGGGAGCGATTGGAGGGCGACCCGCACCCATGGAAAGCACCGTCCGTGTGGAGACCTCACAGACTGGGACGTTACTTGAGGAGAATCGTAAGCTGGACAATGTTCTAGCTACGATACCGGTATTAGTGCGCAAAATGGATGTAATCTCGGAGAGGGTCACCGGGCGGTATGGACAGGTTTAAAACCTAAATTGGCTTCACTGAAGGACTGGAAATGATCAGTTTAAAGACTGAAGGCAGAGAGAAAATTATCACAGCCTGACCCAAACAAATTCTTGTAATCCGAATCTGATGCCATAGCAGCCTTCAAGATGCTAACAACAAACCCCCACGAAGGAATGCAGACAGATGCTGTGAAAACGAAACCTCCATCATAAACTTCTCAGTTCTCACTCCAATATTCTCCTTCTGGTATTTAGTTTTGTGTCGAGCATCAAGTGTTACCTGGTGTGTTCCAGTCACAGGTGGATGACTGGCATCTGATTTGCTCCTGACAGCTCATGAGCATCTTGGAGATACGTGAGACACATTCTGGTTGACCCACATCTCCTGGTTGAGTAATGTGGTAACTGGTGACAAGCATTAGGATGAGGAGCTAGGCTGTTGTGGCTGCATATGGATTTTCCACATGCTACTGAGGCCGTGAAAGAGTCAGATGAATAAATTGTTAAAATGACCAACATGTGTTGTCATTTCCTGGTTACTGTGGGAACATGGTTAACCGATATGTGATCATCAGAACGATACCACAGTTTTCACATGATTACAATAAAGAGGACTTCCTGAATTAAGAAATGAAGACACAAGCATAAATCAAGTAAATTCTCCAATTATACCTTATTGATTCCAGAGGGAAATTAAATCAATCAATCAATCAATACTTTATTAATCCCAGAGGGAAATTAGAGTTTCAGTACACACAATTCAGAGATCAGACATACATGGGCAAGACACATGACAAGAATTGGTGACTGTGGTCATTCGCAACATGAGTCTCTCTACCTTAATAGATGAAAAGGAATTACATGAGGATAGGTTGGTGGAGGGAAAAAATGTCATTCAGATTAATTTTACTTAAAAGTAATGTAATAATAATTAAATAATAATTATGATAACAATAATAATAATATTCAGATTCTTTTATTTAATGGTTGAAAAGAAAAAAATAAGCAAAATGATTTGCATTTATTTCACTCACCTTTTCTTAAAGACAAATGCTCAGAAGTTCTAAAGTCTTTGGCTTTTTAGCATTTGGTCACAGGTTAAAGTGTGGGGTTGCACGGGTGATTTTTTTAGTTAAATGAAGAAAATAATCTAGAACTAAACCTGAATTTGTTTATTTAGTCCCTTTTAAGTTATCTCACAACTTGTCTTTCTTTTATTTCTTAGCAGCTTTAAGTTTAAACTCTAAGTTTAATCGTTGGTTATATGTGTTGTGCTGAATGGATCTGTTGATGCACTTTGTTACTGGAAAATGTGAAATTTAGAAGAAAGAATAAATGGGTTTAGTATGTTTTTAAAATGCTCATTCAGACATTCTGTTGGAATTTGACCTCAGCAGAGGACTAGTAATCTGTGTGTGTGTGTATGTGTGTGTGTGTGTGTGTGTGTGTGTGTGTGTGTGTGTGTGTGTGTGTTTGTGTGTGTGTGTGTGTGTTGTAGGGAGGAGTCTCGCTGAATGAACTTCAGCTTTCACTTTCGTTTGGTCTTATATAATAGCGACTAGTTCAGTCATGTTGTAGCAGGAGACACAGAGCAGCATGACTCCGTTCAGATATTCCATTTGGGATTTGTCCCTGACCATACTGGGCTTCATCTTTTTTTTGTCTGACATCTTGCTGGATGTCTGGGCTGCTGTGAATTTTTACAACGAGGGGGCGTACTTGTGCCTCGGTATTCTGGTGTTTCTGCTCCTTGGATCCTCTTTCCTGGCTCAGATTTACAGCTGGCTCTGGTATAAATATGATAATTTTGTTATGAGAACCAAATTCGAGGAGAATCTGTCTCCCAACTTAAAGATTCTGCATTTTTTCCAGCTGGGAATCTTCATAAGGTGTGTTCAACGTGCCTAAACAGCTGGAACATCTGCATTTTTCTGTTACTGACAGTGTTCGCTTTTACAGGACATGCCAAACAGGCTTCTGTTCTGTGAAAGAATTTGCACCAATAAGCGGAACAAAAACATTAAATACAAACCAAACTGAAGATATTGTCAAAAAGAGAACTAAGGGCCATTAGAAACATGCTTATTTATTCTCACGTGTACTTTATATAAAGATATTTGTAATCTTGTGGTTTCTAATCACATCTGCACAGGATTTTCATCACATGTAACTCTAACATCCTGGGATGATCACCTCCTCAACCCGCAGCACAGCTGATCATCAGTTTTTTATATTGTCTGACGGTTTTGTTTCTGTAAACACAGGAAACAAACTAAAGAAGGAAGTTTGAACTTGGTTTCCTTTTGCTCAAGGAAGTGTTTTTTTATAATATGTGTGTGTTTTTTGCTGGTTGTGTTGCAGAAATGTTAGCGTCTTGATGTCAGTGAAGAACTATAAGCAGGGAGGTTCCTTGGAGGATGAAGCTGTGTACCTGAACCACGATTTAGCCATGCTGAGGATCATTGAGACGTTCTCTGAGAGCGCGCCTCAGATTGTCTTGATGCTGACCATCACTTTGCAGCAGGGACAACTCGACCTCATCACAGGTGAAAATCCTTCCCTTGCTCTTCATCAGTAAAACCAATCTGAGGTTCCATAAGTAGCAAAGATACAAAAACCTTTAGATAGAAACTAAATGTGCATAACTTTTTGGAGAACAACGCCTTAAATGTTAAAAAACAATATGAAGCTTTAAATTGATTTTGTAGATTTTTTTATATAACACTGGTTGGACAGGAAATCAGAACATCCCAATAACCTTTTACCTGTTTTCCTAACAAAACGGTTGGTACTCTTCAGTGATAGAAAGAAAAAGCCACAATGGTCACATAAATACCTTGAATCTGACTAAAGTAATACTAAATAAAAAGTCTATGAAATGTAGACATTACTTTTCCAACATGCTTCAGTTGAAGTATTAAAAAGAAAAACTCATGGAGCAGGCCTGGACAAAAATGATAAATGGCCTGTATTTGAATAGCACCTTCTTAGGGTTCTACGACCCTCCAAGGTGCTTTACAACACAATCAGTCATTCACCCATTCACATGCTTATGGGGATGAGCTACGATGTAGCTACAGCTGCCTTGGGGTGCACTGACAGAGGTGAGGCCTGTTGAGCACTTGCGTCACCGGTCCCTCCGACCACCACCAGCAGGCAAGGTGGGTTAAGTGTCTTGCCCAAGGACACAACAGCAGGATTCTCTGGTCAGAGCCGGGATCAAACCTGCAACCTTCTGATTACTGGACAACCCGCTCTACCTCCTGAGCTACTTGCTGATGGTGCCCCTAACTTAATATTTTGTTTTGCAGCCTCTTGACGCAATCACTGCAATCCACCGATGCTGTAACTGTCAATGAGACTTCTGCACCTCTCAGCAGGTATTTTGGCCAACTCTTCATGAGCAACCTGCTCCAATTGTCTCGGGTTTGAAGGGCGCCTTTTACAGACGACATGTTTCAGCTCCATCTAAAGCTGCTCAATAGGATTGAGGTCAGGGATCAGAAGGCCGCTTCAGAATAGTTCAATGTTTTCCTCTCAGCCATTCTTGGGTGTTTTTAGCTGTGTGTTTTGGGTCAGTGTCTTGTTGCAAGACCCATGACCTGCGGCTGAAACCAAGCTGGCCAGTAGAAGAAGAAGAAGAAGAAAAGATCTTTTCTATAGCGCCTATCAAGATAAGAATCACGAGGCGCTTCACAAAAACAAAAAATGTAGGAATACAAAAAATAATTTAGAAAATGATTAAAGAGAGCAAAAAATGGACAATTGTGATTAAAAATGTAAAGAAAGAGAGAGTGAATAGGAAAGAGGGAAATCAGTGGATCCTGAGGAAGGTGGAATAGGTGGGGAGAGCAGAATAAAGAGAGAGAGGTGAAGAAGGTCATACAAAAGCCAGCTTGAACAAGTGAGTCTTCAGCTGCTTTTTAAAGGAGACCACTGAGTCCACTGATCTCAGGCTCAGGGGGAGAGAGGTCCAGAGTCTGGGGGCCACAGCAGTGAATGATCTGTCACCTTTGACCTTTAGCCTGGTGCTGCACAACCAGTAGGCTTTGATCACTGGACCTCAGGGACCTGCTGGGGGTGTAGGGACTGAGAAGATCAAGAAGTACATTTTTCACAGTAGGGACAGTGTTCTTCTCTTGGTATGTTTTATTTTTCTGTCAGTGAGCATAGAACTGAAGTGCCTTGGCAAAAAGTTCCATTTTTGTCTCGTCTGTCCTTTGGACATTCTCCCAGCAGCTCTGTGGCTGGTCAACATGTAGTTTGGCATATTCCAGTCTGGCTTTTTTTTTCTTTTCTTTTCAACAGTGTTGTCCTTCTTGGTCATCTCCCATCTAGTCCACTTTAGCTCAAACATCTACGGATGATGCGATCTGGCGCCGATATTACTGAGCTTGAACTTCACCTTGGATCTCTTAAAACATTTTCTGGGCTCTTTTGATACCATTCAGATTATCCATCTCTTTGATTTGTCCATTTATCTCCTGTAGCCACGACCAGGGAGGTTGACTACAGTCCCGTGGATCTTAGACTTCTAAATAAAATGTGCAGCAGTAGTCACAGGAACATCTAGCTGCTTGACGATGGTTTTAAAGATTAAAGATGGAACTTTGTTCCTAATATTTGAAGATCTTTAGCTCCAGTGGATGCAGCCATCACTGCCATGTTGCACACCGCACATAGAGCATTGTCTGCCTGCAGGAGAGAGAGAACGCATGCTTGAAAATACATGTTTGACTTTCATTGGTTACATTTAATTGAATTATTTATTATTCCTTTTGTCAGATTCAAATTATTTCTGTGAGCCTTGTGGGGTTTTCTCTCAATGACTGAAGTGTACCAATAACTCTGTCCACATCTGTATGTTGAGGAGGAGTGAGTCAGAATGACATAATGTTTCCTCTCCTTCTCCCTAGTGCTGAAGACCATCGGCTCGATGTCGGCTGTTGCTCTCTGTGTCACCTCATACCACCGCAGCTTGCGCTCCTTCCTTCCAAATGCGGCGGAACCATCCATCGTCTCATCTATCTTCTACTTCATCTGGAACTGGTTCCTCCTGATTTCTCGCCTCGTTACCCTCTCTCTCTTTGCCTCTGTGCTGCCGTGCTTTCTCTTTGCCCACTTCTTTACCTCCTGGCTGGTCCTTTTCTTCTTCTCTTGGCGTGCACAGACACACTTCATGGACAGTGCTTTTGGGGAGTGGTTGTACAGGGCCACAGTGGGCCTCATCTGGTACTTCGACTGGTTCAATGTGGTCGAGGGGAATACCAGGAACAGGACATTTCTGTACCACACCTACATCCTAGTTGATAACAGCATACTTTTAGGTGTTTGGTGTGGGATGATGATCACTGACCCACCTTACTTTGTAGTCCCGCAGCTATACGCCATCATCATAGCGGCCAGTGTGTTTGCCGTTTACGCCATTGGCCTCTTTTTTAAGGTGCTTTATTACAAGTGCTTCCATCCAAACGTGCAGAAACAAGAACTGAAAGGATACACGGAGCAGATACAGGAGTTCCCAGACACAGTGGATTCTCCTCCAAACATGATGATGCTGAGGGCCTTTTCTCATCATACTGATGGCAAAGAAAAGGATCGGCCTGTCCAACCAGCACCCTGCAACAAGAGAATGAAGATGCTGGCTGAAAACTTCTACTCTTGATCACCAAATGCTGTGCTTAGAGGTAAAGTCACGCAGCATCAGGCTCACAGAACTTCCTCTTCAGCTGGAGACAAATCCTCATTGTGTGCAGCTGTCGACCAAACACCGTAAAGAGGCTCGACATTATTCAGTCAGTGTCCTGCTTTTCCAATGTACCATCAGGCTGTTAAATACGGTTTCTTTTTTATCAGCTGCTGATAAAAAAAAAATGTTTTATTATTAAAAAAATCCTGAGTTAAAAAGCATTTACTTGGACCAGTGCTTTCAGTGGGGCAGGTGTATATTACTGGCACTTTTAAATTTCACCTCCCACTTTTCACCTTTTTCCGGCCGAAAAAACCTCCCGTCCAAAGTTCAAAGATCGCTCGTATGACACCCCCTCCTTCCATGTTCAGAAATCTGATCCCAGATGTTTTCTTAGTGGAGTACTAGTACTTAGTTTGTACCACTTCAAGCACTGGTTTGAACTGAGTTTAATTGTCATTGATACCTCACTGTGGTATTTTAACATTTAAAGAGGATTATTAATTGTATTTATTTATGTAAAGAGTTTTAAAGATTTATCAAAGTTATTGTCAGATTACAGAGGTCTTTGTCAGTTTTTTGTATCAGGCCAGGTTCCTCGTGTTTTCTTGCAGGTCAGAGGTTTATGTTTATTTATTTAGCAGACACTTTTATCCAATGCGACTTACACTTTATAACCTGTAGGGCATGTTGTGATCCGTGGGGGAAACCGGAGAACCCGGTTACACATGCATGGGGAGAACACGAAACTCCACGCAGAAAGGCCGCAGCCGAGTTTGGAACCTGCGACCTTCGTGCTGCGAGGCAACAGTGCTAACCGCTGCGCCACTATGCAGCCCAGGTTCTGAGTAGCTTGCTGCTGAAGTGATGAAGCCACACCAAAGAAACTTTACACGGGTCTTTTCACTTTGGGGAGAAAAGTTTTGTTATTTTCACTGACAAGTGTTTTCTGCTGCACCATTTAAATCTGGAAGGACCAAAGGTGTCAAGTAATGAAGTACAAATACTTTGTTACCTAAGTAGAAACTTTGGGTGTATATTTACTGGTGTAGTTATTTATTAGCAGGCTTTTAACTTCTACTTCTGACATTTTTAAGCAATTATCTGTTTCTTCTCCTTCCCGGCTGCAAGTGGGTTCATCTGACAAAGAAACATTCCCAACACGTGATTTTCCTTGGGTTCAGGTGAAGCTTCTTCTTTTACTGCAGTTATAACGTGAGACTACTTTATAAGACATGTATGTATGTCTGTTAACACTTAGTGCTTGAAGTCTCTTTATTCTAAATAAATTGGGTCCAAGATCTGTGGCTTGATCACAGCTGGTTCCAATTCTTCCAGTCAGGGTGAAACTCAGAATGTTCTTTATCATTAAATCTGTGAAGCAGCTGTTTTAAGTTGTTTCTATTGTGCTTCTGTTTTCTCAGGTTCAGTCTTGTGATGGTTTTTAGCTTTTTTATGATTTATGTTTTGCTTTGGATGTTCTTGACTCGATGTAAAGATTTGATAAATACATCTATTTTTGGCACGACTTTTATTAGTTCTTTTTAAATTTTACAGAGCTGAATAAACTTTTGTCTGGTAAACCTTAAAAAATCCTGAGAAATCAAGATACATTTGATAAAAATAATTAATATTGTAATCTGGCCTGAAACAAACACAGCATCAACACATCTGAAGGTTTTTACACTGAAAATCACAGTTTCAGCGTGATCAGAATAAAGGAACTGGAGTTCAACAAGGACGTTTCAGAGGAAAGAGTCAGACAGAAACAAACTAAATGAGTCAGATACAAAGTAGATTCAGACACTTTTAAGGGTTAAACAAAAGTTTAAATGAATGACAAAACTCTAAAACAGCATTACTATTGAGCAGTTTGATGTGAGCCTTTTCTGTTACCTGTTCAAGTCTAAACATGCAGAAGAAATCACATAGACATCTGTTGTTGAAAGAATAGAACTGAACTTTGCACGCGTTTTGTGAAACCAAATGTCTTCTTTGACTGAAAGTCATAAACACATTTTTACTGTGTACATCAGCTTGTTCTTTTACAATACATTCCTTAGACAAAGAACACTTCCATGGAATTCCTCCATTGTTCTTAATTAATCAATCAATCAATCAAAGCTTTATTTATAAAGCGCCTTCCGCAACCCTGTCAGGAAGCCCAAAGCGCTGAACATGGTTCAGTTGAAGGTAAATATATTGAATAAATAAAAAATAAAAGCAATTCAAATTACAAAATACAAATTACAAAATAGGTGAAACATTCTGGTACAGGACAAATGTGTAAAACAATGGATAGAGTGAACCAATGAAAACTGTGAAATAAATTCAACATAATAGAGGGCCAAAATCAAACATGTTCTGGAAACGCCAAGCGGAGAAGGTGTGTTTTTAGGTGACTCTTAAAGACCGGCAGAGATGGGGACAGCCTAACTGAGGGTAGCAACTGGTTCCAGAGTGACGGTGCTAGGACTGAGAAAGCCTGGTCCCCGCGAGTACGACACCTAGAACGAGGAACAGCGAGGGACAGTTCTTAAAGGTCTTGCTGTCTGACAAACCATGTAACACACATTCTTTTTGAAATACAAGGGGTCACGCTGACCCTTTGTTCACACCAAAACTGGATGCAGCCCAGCTGCTGCACGGCGTATGGACAAACTGCCATTCACACCGACTGCAGTTCCAGTGCAGAACGTCTGCGGATATCCGCTCCCTCATGCACTAAATGATTAGAAATTTGAAACAACACCTGTAAAGATAACGTGAACTATCATACACTGTGAACTGATATCATTAATAATAAAATAAAAACCAATAAAATTATTCGACACAAGTCTTATTTTGAAATGTATTAATAGCTGAACAATTAAAGTCGTGGTATTTTATGGTAGGTGGATTTTTGTCTCTGTTTCTTTCTTCCTCTGCTGTGTGTCAGCTGCTTTGTGTGGCTGTGCTGTTATGAGATCTGCTCCTCTGGGATTTGCTGTGCTTTAGATTCATTGGCTGCAGTCAGAATGCTTGTACTGCACGACCTCCACCTGTTACCTGCTGGCCTGCTCCCCCCTGGTAGGCTGTACTCAAACCCTTCAGCATGTCAAGTTACTGTGTGTAACATTTGGTGCACCAGGGCATGCTGTTGTTCTGTCTTTTAACTCATTCACTGCCATTCATGACTAAAGTCGTCATTCTAAATTCAACCAATTGCTGCCATTGACAACAAAAGTTGTCAATTGTGGTTTTTACTGGGGCGGGCCTTGGAGAGCTTGCGCACCTCGAGAGTAAACATCACGGCTCTAAAGTTGATTTTCATTCATGTGTGTCACACGTCATGTATCAGGAGGTGGACAATCCAAGAATTAGGAGATCTTTTTGGGATGCCGCTATGCCGCTTAGTGAGGAGCAAACTGGAAAAGCTTCGGCCGCTCACACCTCAACAATGGATTGTGAAAAAACAGAAAAAGCTAGAAACACGCTGATTCTTTATGATGTCAGAAGTGAGCCTACTCTTTCTATTGGTAGTCTTGCTGTTTACATGGTAATGGAGCACAATATTTGGTGACTCTTCAAAAAACAGTAAAAATAATCAAAAATGTTGGCAGCCTGGGGCTTTCTGTAAAACTGTTAAAGAGCAAGTCACACCAAAATCAACTTTTTTTTGCTTATAATTTGTATATACAAGTGTCTAAAAGTATTGTAGACACGTGAAGTCGTAATTTTTGCATTTTGATGCATTTTCTTTGAAAACTCAAAATTCTGTCTAAAAACGTCAGTCTAGCGCCCTCTTCAGCTCAAAACTATAGAACTCATTTATTTTGCGTCGGTTGTAGCCAATGGCTAACGAGAACGATGCTATGTAGCTAAGAAAAGTACTACGTAGCAGCTCTTTAGCTGTAGGTTATAAAAGCATTGCAGTCTCAACCAGCCTTGTAGCAGTCAGGGCTCGGATTAGCCGCAAGTGAGTGCTTATGCCGTAGCTTAGCTGTTGTTCAGCATTAGCATTGAGTCTGAGTCCCAGCAAAGCTTTTAGTATTATGACTATTTAGTCCTAGTAGCTTGGCTGTTAGATATTGTAGTTTAGTGTTTTTCACATGTGACTCTTTCTCACCAACTTGATGGAGTTTGAACCGGATTGTGCTGGTTTGAAGAGCGTTTCACAAATTAGTCCAAGCCGTTCTGGTAATTAGTCGTATCCCATCAGACTGCTGCTTCCCCAAAATGGAGGAGAGAAACAATGACCTACAGTGCATCCTGCCCACACATTCTCAAACTCGAAGCGTCGAAAACTGACGCTGAGTGACCAAGTGTTTGTTTCCGACTCGTTAGGAGTCCCAACGCGTCGGGAGGCAATGCGTTGTGCCAGAGCGTCAGTTTCTGACTGCCGTGGTAAAACAGAGATTTCTCCAAATTCTGACCTTTACCTTCTTGCTATTTAACCTTCCCCTCACCGCCATCCTAACCTTCAGCTTCAGTCAGAATAAAAAGCAAGTTATGTTCAAGCTAAAAGGAAGTCTGAGAGCGCAGGGACTGCCCCCATATCCCCTTAATACAGCATTGCATAATCATTTGTAAAAAGGACACAGTTGCACCACGTTTCCGCCACGGTCTGACCACTTATAAACAATCAAAGACTCCCTGAACCAGCTTAGCTTTGTGAGAAATTGGAAACATTCTTTTATAAAAAAAACAAAGTAAAAAGGCTACTGTCTCACCACACATAGTTGGCAAAAGGCATACCAACAAGGGAGCTGAAAGATGCTGCACGCTTGCACGCCACCATCTTGTTTTGTATAAAAAACATAAAAACAACAAGGAAGTAATAAATCATGGTGTTATTTCATTGGTGGACCACTGCACTCCCTTAAGCTGGTTTGATTCTGCATCAATACTTATCTGAAATGAAAAGAAAACTTTAATATCTTAAACAGTTTTATTCAAAATCTTTACAAATTTGCAAATAAATACCAATATTTATTAATAATATTATCCATTCAAGTTTTACATTTACATTTCTATACTTTGGCTTACGCATGAAGGAGAAAACACAATGTAGCACTTTTTGTACATTTACATCCAAACACATGCAACAATGACTTCATACAAATATTATATCTTCATAGCCGAAGGTTAGTCTAGGTCTAAAAGACAAAAAAAAAAAAAAAAAGAAAAAAAAAGAAAGAAAGAAACATCCATTTGGCCCACTACTCATGAGAAAAAAAGATCAGGATTTCATAGTCCTTATTACTTTGGCATTACGAAGAATTATTTACAGCTATGATTTAAAAATGTTGTCCAAATGTTGGGAAAACAACAGGCATTCCTTTTCTATATCAACAAAAGAAAGATCATTATAGAAGGTGCAGGATTAAAATGAGCAAATATACAGCAGAAAAAGTGCTTTACAAGCACCAGAGCAGACATAATGACAGTTTTATGTTACTAATTACTTTTGTACACACTGAAGTGTTATAATGAATGATTTTATCATTTAAAACACACTACCTGATAAGGTTTAGTTGTACAAAAACACATTTTTAAAATAAAACCTGATGAAGCTCCTATCGAGCGATTTGCGTTATCAGTTCGTCAGTGTGTCTGAGCAAGTGCAAGCATGTGTTTGTGTTGTTTGGCTCCATGTGGTCTGAGCAGGTTGGAAATAGGCAGGATCAGGTCAGGTGTTCACAGGCAAATCTCTCCATAAGCCATTGGTTGATCAGGAGACACTGACACGTTGAGACCTGGTTGACCCATCGTGACGCCGGTCGGTGGCTTGACGCCATTGAACCGTCTTGCTGTGATATAACAAACCTCTGACAACGATCCCCTCACAGAAGGACATGGACAAACTTTTTGCACGGTATGGACAAAATGCAACATCTGCACGGAAAATGCATTTTTCAAATGCTACAACACAACTTTGAACTTTCTAGAAAAAAAAGCTTGTTTTATTTTCAATATGAAATACTAAAAGATAATGTGTAAAATCAACATTATTTATCATGCTGTCCACGCAATATTCAATCTGCAACCCTGCAACAGTTGTTAGAGTGGGGTTTTTATTCATCCTTTGAGTCTTTTTTCACCATCTGCGCTGTTGCTTTCTGAATGCTAGTTAACAGCAACCTCTGGAGTTGTTGTGTCAAAAGGAAAGCCAATTACGTGTGAAGAATCCCTCACAGTCCTGACTCATGACCATACCGTCAGTAAATCCGAAGCTTTGTGATCTGTGGAGCTTTTAAAGCTGTCCTGTTCAGTATGCGGACATGAGCTAAAGTAGGTGAAGAGACAGAAATGTTCTATATTTCCACTCTTTGCCCATTTTTGTCACATAATTTGCAATCATTTGACCCCACAGCTCTGTCTATGAGGGGGTCAGGGTTCACTTTTAGTGGCAGGGTTCAAACGGTAGCTCAGTGAGCCCTCCATAAACTTCCATCACTTCTTCAGACCATGACATGACATCACCTACAAGGTGACCTCCACAGGATGCCTGGGTGTGGATTTCACTGGCTGTCAAGACTCTGGACCAGAACTGGAAATCTGACATCTGTCCCATGAAGGACTGAGTGATGTCAAAGCGACCTCCCATCGTGTCCTGTGGAGAAGAATAAAAGAGGGTATCAAGATTTACTATTTTGCTGAGGAAAAAAGAACACATTTCAGAAATAAAGAGCTAAATGTGCTCTCTATTAATTTATTCAGATGTGCATTTAAGAACAGATGCAATATGAAGCAAACAAAAAATCTGTAAAATGTAGTTAAAGCTAAATAAATTAAAAAAAAGCCTTCATCACCATCACCTTGTTCTGCTCTCCCTACCTATTCCACCTTCCTCAGGATTCACTGATTTCCCTCTTTCCTGTTCACTCTCTCTCTTTCTTTACATTTTTAATCACAACTGTCTATTTTTTGCTAATTTTAAATATATTTTAAATCATTTTCTAAATTCTTTTTTATATTTCTACATTTTTTGTTTTTGTGAAGCGCCTCGTGATTTTTATCATGAGAGGCGCAATAGAAATGATCTTTTCTTCTTCTTCTTCTTCTTCTTCTTCTTCTTCTTCTTCTTCTTCTTCTTCTTCTTCTTCTTCTTCTTCTTTCTTTAAACAATCAAAACATGTTAGTTTTTCATTTCTTCTTTTGTGGTAACCTTTCCTGTGAATATTCCACGTTACACATGTTTCTGAAATATAAACCACTGTGTCATCAAAAAAGTAAGGGAGCTAAAGTGGTACCCATCGACATATAAATATTGGACAATGGGTTTCCATAGACTCCAATAATAAGTTTTTGTGCTAAAATGGGAGGTGGCCACCACCGCCATTTTGACTGTGTCACAGGTTCCATCAAGCCCGGACAATTCCACAAAAGGGAAGAGAGGTGGAGCTGAGGGTGGGGCTGTAAGGCTGGGATCAACTGACGACACCCGGTCGAACTAGCTACAAGCTAACCTGAAGCTAACCCAAAGCTAACGCAGAGGTGGGAGCTAAGCTAACAGAGGTAGCAACCTAGCTACAACTGGAGTTAACTGTGCACAACACCAGAACTTCTGAGTCAGAGATACCCCGGGCTGACCGCTGGGTAAAACTGGGTGGAACACAGAGGTCTCCCGAAAGCTGCTGAAAGCCAGCAGCCCGCGCAGCAGACAGAGATGTGCCGAGCTGCGGGGAGGGGAGAACCACAAGCTGGCCGGCAGCCCGCGCAGCAGACAGAAGCCGCGATCAGACAGAGATGCGCCGAGCTGCGGGGAGGGGAGAACGGGTGGAAAACAGAGGTCTATCGAGAGCTCCACAAGCCGATAGTGGGAACCCAGCTCCACCAACATGTTATATTTCAACCCATTTTCTAAAGTGCAGCATTATGTTAAATGCACTGGGTTTTACCCTATTACATTTAAATTTCATGGTTAAACAGTACATGTTAAAATCTAAGCTCAGCTCGGCAGTGACCAAAAATACATAAATATAATTTTACTTACTGAAAAAAAAAAACAAGTGGAGACTCCTTGGACGCTCTATTAGTGCAATTAATGCCACAGCAAGTCATTTTGTCCAACAATTGCACAAAAAATATCCAAAACAGAATACACAAACATGGAGACTCAAAATCCTGGAGCAGTTTCCAGGCCAGACCGAGGCTCTACTGAGGCCTTTCCACGGAGCTAGCTCTGTGGTCATGTGGGTCTGATGCTCATTAATTATACAGAATTTTAGGCTTTCAATACACTTAAACAGAAGAGTGAGAAAAAATCCCCCCCCCCCCCCCCCCCCCCCGCCCCCCCTCAGAGTTGTCATGAGTGTAAACTAGATCATTTAAACCAAAAACATGTTTTGGTACCAGGCTGTAAACATGTTTATTTCTGCTGTGAAATTGGTATTTTTAACATGGGAGTCAATAAGGATTTGCTCGCTTCTGACACCAGCCCCCAGTGGATGAGGGTGGAACTGCAACTTTTGGTACTTCCGGGTTGGCCTCAAATTTTGAGCCGCATTGTGGGGCTTGGTGGTACCCTGTGAGATGCCACTTCATTTTTTTTTTTTTGCTATTTAATACAATGAAGTTTGGGGCAGGTCTACCAACTTTTGAACTTTTAAATCCGTGAAAGCGGGGGAGGAGGAGTGCATGCTGACTGTTTTGCCTGAATGAGCTGATGGGGGGGGGGGGGGGGGGGGTCATCAGCATGAGATGTTGGAGGTGTGGCGTGAGAGTATGCAAAGAGGATCCGATGTGTGTGTCTTTCGCTCATTGCCTGAGGGTTGGCAGCCCTGATGAGGATTACATTTTTATACATTTTGGCACTTTATATAAAAATCTTTATCTGAAGACCTGTAACAAGTAAAATAGCCTCTCACGTCTTCAGATAACTGTTAAATTTACACTAATAGAAATAAGGCAACAAATCTACTTAAAGCATTATGCATGGCTCACCTGCTCCTGACCCAAGATAAAGTTCCCTCCTGGTTTAATGGGACGCCATGCTGACAGGTTCTGACCCGAACCTTTCTTAACTCCATCCTGGTAGGCCTCCCATGCCCCGTCATGTGTTGACCATGTCACACATACATGATGCCACTTCCCATCCATTATATTTATTGGCAAGGTCATTGCCTAAGAATGCAAGGAGAAAAAAACATAGAAAGAAAAAAGGGAAAAATATTTCATATCACTGAGAAATTTAAATGAAATCAAGAACTATATTAATTTTTTTGTAAATCGGAGATCTTGGTGTAGGAGAACTGTTACTCTTTTTTTGAAGAAATCTCTCTTTATAAAAGAACTGTGTATTACAAACCTACAATGATCTGCTTTCTCATGTAAACTGTTTTATGTTATTTTTTTGAGTGCACCTGAACAATAGGCCATCAAAAGTTAATGCATTGCTTTAATTTAGATTTCTTAAAAACAGATCATGTTAGTGGTTCATTAATCATTTTGATCACAGACAATATGTGAATCCCGGACAGGAAACATGACAGTTTATCCCACAGTCTCTCCCTCAGATAACTGGGTCAGTCAGTGCAAGACAATAACAGGATTAATTGCTTTGCTCATTTGCCTGTTGAGATCACTTCAGGCTGTACTGGGGCAGAGACGGAACAAACACAACCACCTGTCTTCCATTGAAGGGGGAAATAGTTATCAGCTCTTCTGAGAAGAAAAGATTAGGGGGCTCTTAGGATAATTTAATTAAATGTAACCTATTAAATCTGTAACCTAAACTGGCAAATCGAAGGGTTAATTTCTATTGGAAACTACAAAAAACATCTTCCTCCTTATGTATTTCTTGATTTCTAATGTTCGTTTGCAAAAACAGGAAATGCACAAATATGTCAGCGCCACTAGAATAAAGAAATGATATTTTTTATGATCACAGATTGATTTAGGTTAACAAATACTGGAATACTTCCTATTTTACCTTGTCATTAATCAGCAGCTCCATGGGATTGCTGCCCCATTCCATAAGCACCAGCTCATTGGCTTGTCCAGGCACGGCATAGGAAATAGGAGTGCCGAGGCCAGGACCTTCCCCTGGCTTTAGCCAGAGGCAGATGGTCAGGGCAAAGATCTCATTGACCACTGATTGTTTCATCTTGGCATACATATAATTGGTCCTTATGGGGAAATCAAGCAGGAACGCACTGGGACTCTTTAGCTTCTTGTAGTTTCCTGGTAAGATGGAGAAAAAAAGACGAGATTAATGTCATTAATCCTAAAAAGCAAACAACAACTGTTATTATCAGATCAATAGTCATATCATTGCAATTTGAAGTTTGTAGAGGTTTAGTATAACTTTCCCTTGTTTGAGCTGGTACATTTAAATCGGTATAAAATATCAGTTTTGTTTTTTTATCTACGTTAACCATCATTTTGAAAGTATTTAAAAGTAAAACAAAATAAGCTAGTATGCTATTTCAAAGTTACACACTGAGAAAATTCTGTTTGCTTTGAAATAACTGCCCTCTTACAATTCAGCTTTAACAGTCAAATGTTGATGCAAAATGCCTGTAAACCATTTTATTATGATTGTTGTTGATAAGGCTGCACAGTAGCACCATTGGTTAGCTCAGTTGTCTTACAACAAGGTTGTTTTTTTGTTAAAATCCCAGCTAGGGTCTTTGTTGTGGAGTATACATGTTCTCTAATTGGCATGTTTTTGTTTTCTTTGAGTAGTGAGTTTTTTTTTCCAAACTAATTTTGGGCATCTCCAACCAAAAGACGGTTTTTGGCCCCAGATGCTAGAGGTTTTAGCTCAAGCAGTTGAATATATGTAGATAGATCGACAATCAGCAGGTATGCTTTTCTATTTTAGTGGACTCATTCATTATCAAAATAATGAGTTGCACCTGCTTGTAGTTTTAATAGATCAACTGACCAAAAAGATGTATTTGTACTGTGTGCCATTTGAGTTCATTTGCATGAGATAAGTATTCTGCCATTATCCTTCATGTGTGTGTGTGTGTGTGTGTGTGCATTTGTGTGTGACTACCACGGTCACTGCTGTGGGGCAGGTGGCTGAGAACTGTTTCCAACTTGCTGTGACCAGTGCCCCCTGAACTTGTCTCCTTACTGGTTTGAGGAAGATGCTGTGGCTGATGATCGTTGCCATGGTGATTATCATGGTGGTCAATATGGTGATCCTCGTGGATTTTATCGTGGTGTCCATGTTGATACTCATGGTGACTATTGTGGTGAGTGTCACCATGGTGTGCGTCATGGTGATCACTGTGATGAACAATCCCATCATCGTGGTGGATGCTGTGATGGTTGTTGTGGTTGGGACCGTGATGTTGGCCAAGATGCCGATCATAGTGGTGGTCATAATGATGGCTGTTATAAGGATTATGATGACTAGTGTGATGGTTGTAATCATGGTTACTATGGTGGTTGCCGTGGTGGCTACTGTAGTGATCTTTATGGTGATCAGTGACATGGTGGTCGTCGTGATGGCCGCCACCATGGTGGTCATAATGGTGGTTATGATTATGGCCGTCAGAGTGGTTTCTGCTATGGTTATTGTTATGATGGCCATCATGGTGATGCTCGTGGTGACTACTGTGGTGACCATTTTCATGCTCATCTCTGTTGTAACTATTTAACTGATCTTCTAGTGCGCTGATTTTCCGCTGGAGGAGTTCTCTCAGAGAGCTTGAGTAGGAGCTGGAGGAGTTTCTGGCCTGAAGACACATGAAACAATTAAGACATTACTTTAAACAACGTCCAAAAGTGAAAAGCATTGATCCTATTTTGCAATCTTAGAAAATCAAAAGTGGAGGGACTGAAAGGATATTAGGTATTGTTGAAGTTGAATAAATTGTCGCTTTTCACAAATTACAGAAAAAATTCTACCCCAATGTTTACTTTCCTGTTCCTCTTTTTTCTCATTCTCATCTTCCTCTCCAGCAAATCCAGCTTTGTTCCTTGCCAGCACACACACCACGGTTAATAGCTTTGTCAGGAAGGATGAAGCTAATTGAAAGTGAGGCTGGCTAGCGCCCTTCGGTGCACAACCAGAGGCTAGTAGTGTAGACATCTTGTTAAAAGAGGGAGTGACAGAGGCTAAGTCTTGGCCCTGCCAATGTTATGTCTTGCACTTTCTAATGAGATTGGAAGGGATTTCATGCAGCAAATTCCCTGAGAAAAGTCTGAGACTACCTACACGAATTGTGAGACTTTCAAAGGCCTGTGGGGTTTTAAGAATGACACCAGATGTCATAAAAAGTGACATAGGATAAGCACAAATGTTCAGATGCAACAAATGCAATGTGCCTAATTTTAAGCAGGCAAATCAAGTTTAGCAATTTTAACAATTTTATAGGTTTAAAAAGTGAAACTTTTTTCTGTCACTGGTTGGTTCTTAACACGGGACTTAACATCATCAGAACATAAAGTTAAAACTTGATATTTTGTTGCCTTGTTTTACAATACATTTCACATTTACTAAATACATTCTTAAACCGTCCCTGTCAATGTATTATTAGAAATTGTCCAAGTGCAGTACACTTATGCATAATATAATAAAGACTCCTGTGCCACCTGACATGGTCCTAAATGTTCACAGCAATTCAATGTTTTAGCTTTTTTCAGCAAACTTTATATATATATGAATGTTAATGTTTTTGCAGTATTTCAAATGTGCATTTAGAGCAAAAGTTCAGACCATAACTAAAAGGGTATAATACTACTGATATTGCAAGACAACCTCCAGGAATCTTTTTATACAAGACGACATATAATCCCAACAGTCTTAAAAACATTTAAAGTGTGCATAAACTCAGCATTTGAATGCATTTGCTGTGGTCTCTAGCATGAATGAATGCCCTGTGAGCGGTTTTCAGTGGGAAAAAAACTCTTAATAGAAATTAACCACAGTGGTTGGTGGATTGAAAACAGCAGGCTTTGGAGCTTTACTCATTAATATTCATGATATGCGAACATCTTGCCTCTGATTGGCCAACAGCAGTGTAACTTTTCGACTGCCTCCGCTTTCTTCTACAACGTTGATGTGTTATCTCCACATACAACCCAAGTCGGAATGTGTTCCACCATGGATTTGCTTTTGCTAGCAGCATGTACTAAGGGAGATGCACTCTGCTCTGTCCCAGCTGTTAAATCAACACAACACTCCATGGTTGCAAGCCAAGATGTCTGAGTCCATCAATGCAAACATTTCCCTGTGACCTAGATCTGTGTGGCTTCTTCTGACCTAAGTATTTCCGCATCTTTTTTCTTTCATTGGCGATAAGAGCTGAAGACTAGTTTCACATTGAACATGCATGTGAAACTCAGCATGACTGTATTTCAAATAGAACAAGTATTATATATTTCTAAGTGAAACATCACCTTAAAGAACTGTTGTGACATTCCAACCTATCAAGTACATATCCTATACCATTCATTATTTTGGTTTAGTACTGTAGCTGCAATGTGGTATGCAATAGTTGTATTTCATACCGAGGACAACCAGCACGAGAGTAGTAACCAAAAGGGAATTGGTTCCTTTACTTTTGGCTGGAATCCCACTGTAGCTCATTGAACACCACACGGAGGCTTTTATCTTTGGAGTCAAAAGCTGAAATGTTTATGGTACCTATGATGTCTTAGTCTGGTCTGAATAAACTAAGACATCAGCTCCAAACCTCTGATCAAAGATGAAGACTTATGTGATCCTTAACCAGACAATGATCTCTGAATGCATGTTGATTCCATATTGCTGAAAAAATACTTTCGCACATGTTGGTTGTACATTTAATATTTTGGGAATGAGGAAATATCACCAACAAGATAAATACATAGAATTTTAAAAGTCCGTATTTTCACATCGGCCTAGACCTTATCCTTGTCTGGTTTTAATGGTTGTATGAGATCCTCCCCGTGTCTTATGACTTGTGAAGAACAGTAAATATTTCTGTAGATGCTATCAGAAAAGTGGCAGTTTGACAAACATTACAACTGTAATCAATGTCTTGTCAAGACATGGGATAGCAGGTTCAATTCGTACCAATCATTAGGACATGCTTGGGATTGTAATAACTGATATTTGTCATTGAAGTTCTACTCACTTGTAAGTTCTCCAGCCTTTCTTTCAGTGTCTGTAGTATCTTTCCAGTTTGATCTGGGGAAAAGGAACTGTGCTTGATGGATGACGAGACCTTCTGATGGTGGAGGTCTGAACTGTGACTGCCATGGGAGTAGTGGTGATCGCTGTCATGATGCGTCGAGGGTCCATGGTGTAATGACGATGGTCCATGATGGCTACCATGGTTGCTGCCATGGTGTCTGCCATGGCTGCTTCCATGACCGTTGCCATGATGACTTCCATGATGTCCATGGTGATCATCATGGTGGTTGTTATGGTTGTTATGGTGAATATCATGATGGCTTTCATGGTGTGTGTCATGGTGACTGATGCTGTGGTGACCACCAAAGCCTTCACACAAGGTAAGTTTGGCAGTCAGCTCTCTAATGGTCTCCCGCTGGTCCAGGATAGTTTCTTTTTGTTGGACAAGGCTCTCACGCAGGTGCAAAATAGTGGTTTTAGCCTCATCAGACATTATGCCCCGATGGCTGCCATCATTGTGGTCATTGCTGTGGCTGTTACTGCTCAGACCGTGGGGCACACTGGGTGGTGAATGGCAGCTTGGGTCTGCCTCTGGGGGAATGGGGGTACAAACAAATTTGGGACTAATACCAAAGTCATGCTCTAAGCCAGCACCTGCTGCAGAACATGACAGGAAGTAAGACAAAATAATTGAACGCAGGGGGAAAACGGGAAGGACAAACTTTGCAGAGTGTCCCAACCATTGCTGGTGCCTTGTAGACATGAGCATGAGATTCAGAGAACCATCATCTCTGGCCATGTTTGGTTGAAATATAAATGATTTTGTGACGAGTTACAGGTTCCCTTGATAATAGCTTTTATGTATAGAGCACCATGAATGGAGGTCATTTGTGTTGAATGTAGGTGTTGCACAGTATGTCTATAAAAATCCCTCAAGTAGCATTAAAGTCAATGAATAAAACAAAGTCCAAGTATTTCAAAGCGAGCCAAGCCACTGCCAAACTCTGTTCGTCTTTAGGGCAACCTTATGGAATCAGGCAAAGTCTCTTGGCTCCATAGTGAGTTATTAGCCTGTGAGAGCGTCACTGATGCATCCTGATGGGTTCTTCCACCCACTGGATGACCCGTTGGGCCTTTGCCAGACAAGTGATCACTGTTGGGTCCAAGAACTTCCTGCACTTGACAGCTGAGTGTAATCCATTTAACTTTAATGTCTAAACATCCTTTAAATCCGGGAGAATATTTCCTGCTGGAGACATGGAAAACATTTTAAAAACATGCAGCAAAGTTAGAGAAATCAGTAAAGGTACTGTGACTGTTTTAAAGCCTATTTTGGCCTTATTTTCAGTTATGAGTTTGTTGAAACCATTTAAAATAACATTATTATTTTGTTATTTTTTATATCATTATTACCAGTAGTAGTAGTAATATTTGTACTTTTACCATTTAAAGCATCATGATAAGTATTTTCAATAAAATAGCAACAATATAATTACATTTGAGAAAGAAAATCACTGCTCAATTACAAGATGAGATAATTTTAATAAATTGTTTGGTATGTGGTTGTACGAACAGCAAAGAAAATTTCCTGTAAAGAAATTTCTTCTCTGTCAGTCAACCAACATTATCTTTCTGGTACAGGTGGACTAGAGGGGAAGCTTAATGAGTAAAAAATAAAACTACTTTGGTAATAAAGTGCATGAGAGTTAGCCTGGCCTGCCACACTCTGTTTAATTCTGCACAGAGAAAGAGTCTGGTAACACACAGGCAGAGGGGCACTTGAGGGGCGGGACTAGGCAGCTCATAAATAACCAATCAGAAAAAAAGATGGGAATGCCGACTGTACCGCGCGACGCTGTAGTTTTTTAGCTGTAGTCAAAAATGGCGTCTGGCAACGACGCAAACATCTTTTATTCTTTGAGAAGAAATGCTTTTAGCGCTTCTACTTGTTGTGATTTTAAAGACATTAAAGTCATTTAGAACAGAGGAAAGTGCCGCAGCGAACTCCGCCACTGTCTTCGTTGTTTATGAGAAACTGAGCGTCGCTGTGTGAGACGTCCGCCACGCTGTAGTTTTTTGGCTGTTGTCAAGAACGGCGTCCGGTGACAGCGCAAACATCTTTCTTTAGAAGAAAGGCTTTTAGCACTTCTACTTGCTGTGGTTTGAAAGACGTGTCCAAGTCATTTAGGACAGAGGAAAGAGCTGCAGCGAATTCCACTTCAGGCGCCATGTTCATGAGAAACTCTGCGTTATGATGTGTTACGTACACTACTCAGCGCTGTTAGAATTCTCACGGTGTGGGGTTATTTGAATAGGAGAGTTCACAGACCCTTTCTCTGTGCAGAATTAAACAAAGGAGGAGTCTGGCGGGCCAGGCTACATGAGAGTAGCTGTATTTTATGCAAAACGTCACCCCTACATAGACAGTTTATGACCATACTGTCCTCAGTCATGTAAAAACAAGAGATTTCAATCTGAAATGTTTATGGTACCTAGAGCATTTATGCTGGAAACAAAGAAAAAGGCTAACCCTAACCCGTGAACAAATAGAAACTGCAGTCTACCTGTGTGTTTGTTGGGTTATCTAGAGAACATGAACCAAGACGGACAAGTTTCAGAACACATACGCTGTTGTTCCTTCTAGCTCCTTATCTGTGTAGCCTAGTAACCTAAACAGTTTGAAGACCCGAAAAGACCATGAAGCACAAACATCTGAGTATAAAAAACCTTTCGGTAACTTTGTACCCCTGAGAAAAAGAGAAACTTTTTTATCTAGCGAGCACGTTTTGTCTTTTCATACATTGATTTATTACGAGTTAAAGCTGTGACCAACTAAGGAAAAACTTGAATTTTTTACAGAACAATCCACAGCTGTGTTGATGAATCAAAGACTGAACAAACAAGATCATCTTAAGAGCTCTAACCTGTTTCGTATTGTATTGTTCCTTTCTAAGTCTGAACACTTGACAGAAGCAGCCAGTAGACATAGGATTAAACCCGACAACCCCTGCTGTCTCGTACTTTAAGATAACATGATACTAACATGATGCGTCCCCGCAACACAAGGCTTCGCACATGACCAATAAGCATTCCATTTTGAACAAGAGCAAGCTTTTCCCTTTGTGTTTCATAAGAAAAATATAAAACTTGCTATTCACATTCAACTCAAGCAGTTTGATACTGTGAATGTGTTCTTTTCAACTCTTCTCCATGTGAAATAAATATCCCTAATTTCTTTGTTGTTTGTTATTTACAGTACCAAGCTTGTAGGAAATATCAAACAGGAGTGAAGTAGGGCAAAATATCAGTTTTATGCAATGTTTTTGACATCAGATAAGTGGGAAACATCGTTTTGTAACCAGCCCAGTCATTCTCATCTGGCAGTGTTCTGTTAGCTTTAGCTTAGCATATACAATGTAAGTGAATGGTAACAACTAGCATTTTGTGTGAAAAAGTGATGAAAATTACTCAAAATTACCCTAGTTTTCTTGGTGACCTTGATAATCATATTGGCTGCAAATGAAAATAACACCAAGGAATTACAGGAGCTGATTAGGGGTTAGACTACATTACAATAAAACATTGTACGCTGTAGCTGCAAGGCACAGAAAATGAGGCAACGGTCTCAAAACTTGCTGGTCATGGTCATTAGGGTGAAATGTTAGTAAACCTATGACAGTAAACAGCTAATTTTGGGGCTGCTAACTCATTGCCTTGCATCTTGCAGCTGTGGCTTACAACCAGGGTTTGAATTACACACAGGCTTTTGGCGGGGGGTCCCGTGAGATAAGGGATGGGGTGTGTAAGTGAAGTTGTACAACTCATCACCTCCATCAGCACTGGATCATGATTGCTAGGGCCCTGGGCTTGAAAGTGCCCTGATCTGGCCAGATGGGCTTCCAGGGGAGCCTATCACTGTTTCGGGGCAGCCATGCTCCCCCTAGCTCTCCCATAGTTTGTACCCTGCTTACAGTTGTGCTTTATCATTCAATTCAATTCAATTCAAAAATACTTCATTAATCCCAGAGGGAAATTGATCATAATATAGTACAAAGTCTAAATTGGCTCCTGTAATTTCTCTGTGTTACTTATTATTTTCATTTGCAATCAATTTGATTATTGAGATCACCAAGAAAAAAAAGGATTACTATTAAGTCATTTCATGAAATGCTAGCTGTTACCATTCACTTACTTTTTTTATGCTAAGCTAAAGCTAACAAAACACTACTAGATTAGGTGAATGACCGGGCTGGTTACATAAATACTTTTTCCCACTAATCTAACTCATTAATAAGGCAACAAACTACATTTGACTTAGCGGTGGACTATCCTTTCATGTTGGATGTCACCAGTCTAACTGCTAACAATGTTTTTCAAAGCTACATTTATGTATCTTTCTTGCAACACCAGAACAAAGCAAAGGGTCATTAGTGCTGAGAATTTAATACTCAAGGTGACTCACGTGACACAACGCCGCCTTAGTGTAATGTCTCATGGAAGAAGGGGGGTGCTTGAAATCCAGAACATTCTGTCTAACTGGACAGAATAATATCTTCAAAGAACAGTTCCAACATTAGCTAACTTACGAATCCCAATGGCTTTGTTTGGTGGAGAATACTTCCTGTTCTGACTGGATGTTTCTTTTTATTGCATAAATATAAAGTTCATTCCAACTTACTCTTAAGTTAAATGAACAGAATCCAAATATGCTGCTGTTCCTGGTCTTTATTCTAAACTTTATTCTAGGTTATTTATGTCAAAAACGTTTGCCCGTCAGTCACGCTTTTTCAGCAGGTGTACGTTTGATCATTCCCACAGTTTGGCTTTCTAAGCCGCCTCTAGCCAATGAGAGGTCAGACTGAAGTCTCTGAGCTGCACGTGGCGTCAAGCACATCAGCCCTGCACCAGCCAAATTACAACAGTCGGGTGGATACAAAATGACAATGTTGAGCAACAAATACTCGTGATTGATGCTTCTCAAAAACTGTGAATACAAATAAGAAATAAAAATAAGGACATGCAGCAGAGACGTATGCATTATTTAGCTTATTTACTATATTTACTGATTGGGCTGTTTTATAAATAATACCTGGATAGTTGTAGGTTTAGACCCAGTATAATCAACATTCCTATTCAATTACTCCATTTTTTAGTGCTTGTTAGACTCTTACATTTTGCCCAGGATTGTGTTTGCTCATCAGAATTTGATTTCTATTGGAATGACGGTGGCTCAGGGGTTAGAAGTTTGCCCTGTAATATCTGGGTTGGTGGTTCAAACCCAGACTTCATTGGTCATGTCAGACATTGTGTGCTTGGGTGAGAAATTTCACCCTCCTGATGGTGGCCAGAGGGCCCGGTGGTGCATGTGCTGGCTGTAGTATAAAGCACTTTGGAGTCTTTTAACTCAGAAAGGTGCAATACAAGCACAGACAGTCTATCATTCATTTTTCTACCGTTAATCCAAACCCATTAGCATATACTCATAATATATACTCAACAGTATAAAATTTGAATATATATATATATATATATATATATATATATATATATATATATATATATATATATATATATATATATATATAGATAGATAGATAGATAGATAGATAGATAGATAGATAGATAGAGATAGATAGATAGAGATAGATAGATAGATAGATAGATAGATAGATAGATAGATAGATAGATAGATAGATAGATAGATAGATAGATAGATAGATAGATAGATAGATAGATGATAGATAGATAGATAGATAGATAGATAGATAGATAGATAGATAGATAGATAGATAGATAGATGATAGATAGATAGATAGATAGATAGATAGATAGATAGATAGATAGATAGATAGATAGATAGATAGATAGATAGATAGATACTCTCTATAGACTATTATTGAAATTTAAGGTCATTTTCAAAGCAAAAATTGTCAGATTTTTAAAATTAAATCCAGGAAAGTGTTTTAGATGTCTTACAACCTCTGAAATTGCAGAAAAAAATCCAAGAGTGTCAAAAAACATACAAAAAAAATTAGGCAGCATTGATGTAATTAAAAGGAGATAAGGCTGCTATTTGCTATATGGGCAGCATACTTTCATCTGGTCAGCTGTGTCTTTTCAGCAAATCCAATAAAGTTACATGAATATAGAGAAAAAACATTTTATCTCAAAGTAATTTTAAAGAACCTGACTAACAAACGAAAAGCATCAAAGTGTTTGTAAACAGATCCTACTGTGTTTCTCTGAGTTTCAGCTTCTTTAACTTCTTTTGATGAGTTTCATTTTCTCCCTGCTGAAACCGTTTAACAGTAGGAAACAGATATTTTCTTACCTGCCTGGAAGTTTGAGATCCCTGAGCTGTTCAGTCCAGTGAGCACACTGATCAGCTTGAGAAGGATTGGCTTTATGTGGATATTTTTATCTCTGCCTCTCTGTTAGTCTCCGAGCATGTGCAGCAGTGTGACTTTATAACACTTTGTTATAAGGAGGGCATCAAATTGCAAAGTACATCGGGAAGCGTGTGCGGATGAAACTATTTGACTTTGACACTAATAACAGTTTGGGGGCTTTTTGTGCATTTTGCTTCTAGCCGTTAGGAATAAGCATCTGGATAAGAAACATTTTCCCATGACGAGTGCTGCGTAATTAATGTTGATCCTTCTCCATGGCATGGCTGTAAAAACAGTCCTGAAATGTCTATCCAACACATTTAGCTGCATTGATCATCTGTATGTTGTTCTCACTCAGCCCTTGGTTTTGTCTTTCACACAAACGCTGCCATCATCAAATCCAGATTCATCAGGAGTGACGAGCAGACATGAACCAACATCTTCCTTTCAGGGTGAAGTTGGCTCATTTTTATCTCTTCATACGACACAATGAAATGATCTCCTACATTTTTGCCAGTTGCGGTATTTTTCAGGACACTTTTCTAGAATTTGGTTTATATTGAATGTCCCTGCAGGAAGCTAAAAAGACAAATTCATTTTCACACATCTAAGAAAGCTGGCCAATTTGGATAAAAATCATAGCTGGAGTAAATCTGAGTGGAATATCAAAGAATCTACTGTGATAATGAGGAAAATGAGGTGAAACCAATAAATGTTTCAGCTAAAAGTAGAATATTCTTAAATACAGGCTATGCCTGTAAAATTGTCATGAGCTGGGGTGAGTACTCTGCCCATCATCTCATCATCTCTGAGTTTTTGCCTGCAGGAGAGGGAGCACAGCTGATCCGCATCAGACTGATCAGTGCGGCGGCTTTAAAAGGAGGACGATTATCATCATTCGACACCGGATGATTATGTACTGCCTGGTAGACTCTAGCCTCATAGTGGTTTTCGAACCTCGTCTTATTTTTGAGGCTTTGAAACTCGTTTTAACCTGAGCTTGTTTTCTCTGCTTGGAAACTCACCCACAGACTTACCTCATCGTTGGATCCGTTCCCGTCTCCAAGTCAAAGGATTATTCACCGGTTCGCTGCCTGGATTACGACTCCACCCAGCTGCCCCGCTCTCCACCGATCACGTTCTCTCTCCTCCGCCTCGTCCGTTCCACTCACCCACCCCTATTATCACACGTCTCTTCTGGATATCACCCCAGCTCATCTCCCCTCCACATTCATCCCGTATTTCCTCATCGTAAGTTCCGCCCACAAACATTTCCTCAGAACTACAACTCCCATTACTCACCTCAGGTTTCCCCCTAGTTACCGCTTCCGGATTCGTCCTCTCGCTGGATCTCCAGTACGCCTTCAGTTCACTTCCACATTTAAATAAATTATTGTTCTTCTTTTACCTCATCTCCGTGCTTGATTCTGTATATCTTGGGTTAGACACCTTCCTCAAAACGACAAAAATATAAAAATCATAGCAGAAATTCATTAAATAATATTTAGTACGTTTTAGCAAGGTTAGGGCTCTTCTGTAACACAAAGACTTTATTCAAAGTTGTAAGTAATGTAATGTATGGGGTTATGTATGTCAGTTTGATACTAGTGGGTGGTACCCGTTTTATTGCTTTTACTAACTGTGCTTAATGAAGTCTGAGAGGCAAATTCAAAACCAGTTAGCTTGTAGTGGTTGAATAAAGGCAGCTTGCATGTCAAGAGGTACCAAAAATTCTCTGCGTCTCTGACCAGCTTTTCTATGTACATTAGTAATGGTTTGTTCGGGGAAAAGCTACGATAACATAAGTTCATAAACACACCTTTAAAGGACCAGTAGAATGGGGTTGAGTTAATTTTAGTGTCAATTCAGCCTAGGGAAAGGTTCGAAGAGAAAAGAGTGAAAGTAGAAACTGGAAGTGAAGTCAATGTTGCTCACTAATAGGCCTTTTCCAACGACACTACTCAGCATGACTCAGGAGTGCTCGGTTCAGTCTGGCTGCTTTTTCCAACAGCACTATTCTGTTATAGATCGTTTGGGAGTAAATCAGCCAATCAGCACTCAGCTCATTTAATATTCATGTCTTGGCCGGATGGGCAGGCTAAATCCATCTTCCCATTGTTGGGCTTTATTATAAGGTTTTATTTGGCCTTTTATCAGGGCTCCTGGGCGATTTTGAGCTCCAACAAATTTTCATATTTTATATCATGACTCAAATAACAGTTTACAAAATTGTAAGAAAAAGTAGTTCTAAGATCTCTTTAATAAAATGTTATGACCATAACATATAAAAATTTCAGAAAAAGGGAGAAAAAGATTTTCACCATGTACTTGGAGAAAAATGTCTGCTTCCCAAAGTCTGAGTCTGGATGTTTGACTAATCTGTTTAAGCTGGTTTTCATTACTCTGCAGTGGTTTTTTTGTTGTGAAAGTCATGCAATACAGATGTAGGCACATTTATTGCACATTAGCAGAGTTTACTGGAACCTCCCAGATATATAATGGAGCCACAGAAGGACTATTTTCTGACAAATAGCACAAGCCTTCGTTGAAGATTCCACATCTGCTTCTACGTTTGGCCACCACTTCATCCTTGTTTTTCCCGAGTGGGAATTATGAAGTGGTTGCAAAAAAGTGTTATGTCCCTCCTGTCTAGGAACACAGAAAAACAAAAGAAAATAGAATGAACCCAGGCTTTTCACCAAGTAAAAAAGATTCATTACAACAAATGGTTCACTCAAATAAGAAGAGGCTCAACAATACAACAAATAAAACAAGTCTCCTGTGTCTAAGAATAAACAACTGAAATTTCACCCGCTGGGAGAAAACCAACTAGACTCATTTAAGGAAACACAAAATGCTAATCTAATGTCTATTCCCTCCAGCTGGTGCTGTGCAGCAATGTGCCTCTCTCATTGCACACAACTGGTGCATTCACTTATGCCACTTACACCCTAGCATCGGCTCCACTCGGCCTGGACCGGGTTTGGAGTGTTCTCATTTAGGTAGCCTTGTATTTTTCGGCACGGAACCAGACGTTTTTTCAGCCCTCTTCCCGAGGCAGTCTGCCTGGAGCTGAACTGGTTCAACACGCCCACTGCTGGCTCACTGACTGGCTCAAAATCATGCCTATCATTAGGTGGAGCCTTCGATTAGCAGATACAATCAGCCTGTGGGGGATTCCCGCATGCGCAATTCACTGTCTTTCTGGATACTGTAGTTAGCCAGCCTGCCTCTGACTGAAGCCGTTTTTCTCAGTCTCTTACTGCTGTGAGGAGCGCGTACACACACACACACACACACACACACACACACACACACACACACACACACACACACACACACACACACACACAGAATGCCGCTAGACATAGCAAAGCAGGATGCAAAATCAGTGAGTCTCCAAAAGCAAGACTGCTCAGGCTGCTTTTGTTTAATAATGGAGACACCTCTGACTTACCCATGCTCTTTGCCCCACCCACATGCTCTATTTTGTCTACACCAATGTTGGAGAACACCCATGTGCTCAATCACATCCGCATTCCTAAGGCAGTGTGGAACGAATGCAGCCAGGCTGGAGTGTGCAGAGTCAAACCGATGCTAGTGTGTAAGTGGCAATAGTGGGTGGCATGGTCTAGCCCTGGTAGGTTATGTTCACATCTGGGTAATCTGCGTTTTCCTTTGTAAGCCAGTGACGGCTTCCTGCATTAGCGATTTATTATCAGTCTGGATTCAGTGAGCTAAACATCACCTTCTCTGATGACAGCTCAGCCCTCTTTGTCCAAGTGTGAGTAGTTTTCTTTCAGCCAAAGTCTCATTTCTCAATGCAAACCCTATTGGTCTTTCTGAACTATCTTGAATTTTGTGTGAAATCACCTCTCCCGCAAAGATAAAGTTATGTTAACACATAGACTGGCTTTGCCAAAGTAGTGCAGGGAAGTCAAAGGAGTCATTCTTAAGCACCAAAAGTTAGTTAACAAAAGCAGGTATGAGCTGTGTTACTTTTGTAAAATCTGACATGAAGCCCACAGATTCCTGAGCAATGGTTCTGTCACCTCCTCTCCAATCTAAGAGCTCTCACAGCAGCAATGAATCCTTGCACTGCCTGTGCAGCCATGACCGGTCCAAGGCCTAGTCCACACGTAGCCGGGTTTTTTTAAAAACGAATGTCCGCCCCTCCAAAAACTTGCATCCACACCACCTCGTTTAAAAAAAATCTCTGTCCACACGTACCTGGATAAATACGTTGTTAAGGACATGCCAGACCTGTAGGCGGCAGTACTTCCCCCGTTCTTAACCTCGTCCTTCCTCTGTGGTCTTCCACAAGGGGCAGTAATTCCGCTTGCAAAAACAAACAAGCAAAAAGCGCTTGGACAAGTGATAAAGCGAGCACAGCTGAGGGCATCCATGCTGTCGGCTAGTGTAAACACAGGTCGCACACGTGATGTCAGCATTTTTTGTCGCGGAAAGTGACGTTGCGGACCTTAAAACTCCGGTTTTGTCTGTCCACACGCAGACACCCAAAACGGAGAAAACGCAGATCTTCGCTTTGGCCGGAGTTGTTAAAAAGATCCGTTTTCGTGTGGATGACAAGCCAAAACGTAGAAAAATATCTACGTTTTGGCAGATCCCCGGCTACGTGTGGACAGGGCCCAAGTTTCAGTCAGGCAGTCACAGGCCAAAAAACCCTGATTGGACTCTTTCATCTTGAGAGCATCCCAAACTACTGGTGTCCATCAGCAGGTTCCAGGGTTGCCGTCACGGCACGCACCGACATCCTGTGGCCACAGCCCCAGTCAGCTGCCTAGACAATGACGGCATGGAACATTGCCAGAATCAATGTCCCCCACCTCTTCAGGGATGTAGTTCTGTTGGAGGTGGGAATTGAATCTCCTTCTGACAGAAGACACTGCCAGACATTCCGAGCAGACCCTCACAATAAATTTGGGCCTACCAGGTCTGGCTGCCATTCTCCCCACTAATGAGGCCAACTCACCACCAAGTAGTGGTCAGTTGCAAATTCTGTCCCTCCCTTCAACCGAATGTCAAAGACGTGGTCACAGGACAATGACTGATGCTGAATTCTTGCTGTTCCTCTGTCTTTAGTAAAAGTTCTACTTCCTTCTGGTCCAAATTGGAGGCCATGTCCTGGTTACAGAGCTGCTGATCATTCAGAAGCTCCTTTTCCCAGACATGAGGTGGGACTTCTGGATAGACTAAAAGTCAGGAGACATTTATGAGTAGAAAGCATTTTATTTTAATTGTCAAATACATCTGAAGATTAAAAAAATAATAATGAAACCATTTTACTTGCAGAAAAGTAAACAACGCTGAGAACAAGTTCACAAAGGTTCTTCCAAAAAAACAAGTTTGTTCCCCATTGACATAACCAGAGGTTGCCTAAACCAGCATTTGTAAAATTGGAAGAGTTGCTGGTGTAGCAGAATAGATGAAAATATAAAAGCAGCATTTACAACACTTTAAAATCACTGCTTTAAACCAAGAAATGCTGCAAAACAGGACAGTTGTTGTTGTGCCAGCCCACTTGCCTTCAGTGATGATAGTGAAGTGGAGGAAGAGGACAATGTGACAGATCCTCAAATATAAAACATTCTAATATTCTACCTTTGATCTGAAGTGGTATCTACAGTTTTAATAACTCAAAATTGTTCCACTGTCATAGTTTTTATAAAATATATACTTTACTGTAAAGTAATTGTAAAATTTTCTAGATTATTCTTCAGTGACATGTTCTAAAATGTGCTAGACTATTCTAAAGTGTCTTACAATGTATTACAATATTTTAAATGAATATTTAACGTTTGTGTTTTTAATATTTTTTTTTGCCACAACAGGGCCAGCATCCAAATATGACCACTTCATTTTCTGCATAAAAATTAACATTTTTGAAAATTGTAACTAAACAGAAAACATTTATTACACCACAACACCCTGGGACTGAAATTCTGAATTTTAAGCTATTTCAATGAGTGAACTTAAACGGGTTAAGAGGTTTCTCACATGTATTGTGATCGAAAGCATTGTGTTAAGTGTCCTTGTTTTTAAGTTGTACAAATCTAGTCTTCAGTTTATTCACCAAATAGGATTATAAAAGTAGTGGGGCAAAAATGTATTTAGTCAGCCTCTAATTGTGCCCATTCTCCCACGTAAAATGGGATTGGCCTGTGATTCTGAGCTCTGTCATTGCCAACAAAGGGTATATAACAAAGTATTGAGATTGACTAAATGCTTATCTTCCATCATCATTTGCAAACAAATTCTGTTAATTTTCTGGATTTTTTTATTTTTATTGTCTCTCATATTTAAGGTATGCCTATTATGAAAATTACAGGCCTCTTTCACCTTTTTAAGTGGGAAGACATGCAGGTACCGTCTAGGTCAGGCTCCTCCAAGAGGTACCCGATGTTGCTGTTTTGTTCACAACCGCCACATCACAGCATACCTGTTGTCGTTCCTGTGAGACTGCTTACCACCATCTTCTCCAGAGGTGTGCCATGTCCCAACCACATAGCAGGATGCGGGTGTTCCTCTGT